TTACCCGTTCAATTAACGCCCTTGCAAGCAACGATATGAATTATAAAGCTGGCGTGTCTTTGCTTCGTTAGTTTTTAATCCCTCGGCGGGCGCTCAAATAAGAAGCAAATGCTAATAGGGCAGTTAGGCAGCGAATCACTTCCACGGGTTGAGTGCCACACTGCTCCAGAAATTCAGCCAGGATTGAAGGCTTCATACCATTTTATCCCGAACATGGTGAGTTGGAACTTTTTGAGTTCCTCTTTGAAGACGATCTAAGCATTACATACACGTTAGACGCCCAACAAATACATCTTTTACAAACCTACCTAAAGTACAAAAGAAGTGATTTCAGGGCATCTTACGTACTACATTTTACGTTATGAGACTAATTCCACATATCAAAGTAACGATGTGTAAGCATTGATATTGCGCAAACAGGGTGATTGGATGTTTTGCGCTAAGAGTCGACAAGGTCTCAAAACACTTGGCAGCGTTTAACTCCAGTTAGCGCGAGGTCATTCTTTCTCCATGTCGGTCTGGACTATTTTACAAAGTCTGGAAAGATAAAGTTTTCAGCCGTTATACTGTCTTCCAGAAAGCATGGACTAATGACTGTGGTGTGTTAATGCGGGCCCACTTTTCTTGCCCGACAATGCTGTGTTCACGCTCCGAAACTCATTTTGAGGAGTTCAATCAACCATGACTTGAAAGACTGTCTTTTTCCGGCACAATCTGCATAGATGTTTTAGTCTTTAAAAGGACGGATCACTTTACGTGCTGACGTCGAAGATCGTCGCTTATTAGATCTGCGTTTTGATAGAGAAAGCATCCCCGAAGACTTCTACAGAGCAAAATAATTTAGACTCAATATGTAACCCAGCCTTTAGTCCAAGTGAACATATACTTTCTGTAAAAGGATATTTGCACCTCTTGCTCAAAAACTGGTGGCGCATTTGCTACGTTATTTTGCAAGCCAATTTTGGGGTCATTGACACAGAATTTAGACGCTATTTTATTTCATATATTTGGGGTACCATGGAACTAATGTCTTCAGACTTTTCCAAATGACATTAACTACATGGAGATTTAATAATTCAAACATAAATGAGCTTCCTAAAATAAAATCAACATCGATAGAGACGAAGAAAACAGAAATGGCCATTTGTGTTCCGTTATTTTAATTATTTAGCCATGCACAAACTCCAGGTTGGGATAACTTGGGATTGGAACTCGTGGTCATTCCGTCATAGTGGATGCTTAGATAGAAGGACAAAAACATCTTATGGCAGTTTCAAAACAATGAACCGCCATTTTGGAAATGGCTCATGAGACCGGACTTGCATCATGTTGCATTTAAATCAGTTTGTAAGAACTGCTAAATTAGGCACTTCCCTTATGATGCTAGTGGTACCGTTCTTTAGGAATTTTTAGACAAAAATTATCATTATCACTCCCGTTATGCAGGAAACTTCCCCGGTTTCTAGGTTTCGCACAAATTCGGTAAATTTACACAAAATTATCATGAAATTCTATTTCTCCAGAAGTCGCAGGTTAAGACCAGTTTGTTTTTTCCCGAAGGTACAGCAGGCTTCGAAAGTCAGGAAACAATCACTGGCGCATAATTACTGCAGCATGGATGCAGGGTTTTATTCGGGGGACGTCATCGCAGATAGCAGAGTGAGATGAATTATTTTCATAGGAGATATCTGTCAGTGTCGTGTGCTATCTCATGGAATGCCAACCAAAATTCTAAAATATGTTTCCCACTCGAAAAGATTGGTTAAGTAGGGTTTTAATACTTATTATTTTGCATCCTAATCCTAAGGTATTTCAGTCCCTCCGATATGCAGGCATTTGAACGAGGTTCCTTTCAGCCATCCCCTAAAAGCTCGCTCTGCACAAAATGATTTCTTAATTCGTATGAATTTTTATTTCACAAAAAACATGCGCGAACGTATTCTCTCTTACACTCGCGCGGTAGCATATTAGGTCTCCTTTAAATATTTTGCTTAAAAAAGGTATCATTGTGTTTTTAAATGTTTCTAATTATGAATTATTTCAAGGCCGTGAATTGTCTATTCAAAAATCATAGTATCTGTACATTTATTAACGTTACTTATAGAGTATGCAGCATGGCCCACATCCATTGTAGACTTCCATGAGGGTCATATGAATTCTCCTCTAATGGCGTATATAATATATTATTTTTTAAACAGAAGATAGATAACCTGTAATTTGGTGCCCTGAATGCATGTATAGCGAAAAGTCGGTTAAAAATCATTCGGGAAGAGAAAAAGGTTTTTTAAACCGAAAGATACTCTCTCTTCAGGAACATGGTTCACACAAAACGAAGGTTGCCACGTAACGAGTGCAAAAAAGGATTTTTTGTGTATGTTTTTTATAAAATGTATTCGAACTTATATGGGCATCAAGAATCAAGGGAAACAATAAGTGCCAATTAATTAGTCATCCTTCGCAGCCTTGGTTTGTAGGCGGTTAGGAAGAAGCCCATTCGAAAGCTGGCAACCTGACATGACTAAAACATCTCAGGATTATGCTGCGAAATAATGAATATCATAACCCTCCTTATATAATCCTTTCGAGCGAAAAAGTTTAGAATTTCGGTCAATATTTCATGAGTTAACAAATCTACTATAGATTTTTAAGCCCCAAACTCATGAGAAAACTTCGAATATTTCTAAAAACGAGATCTAGAGAGTTCGATTGCTCTAGGACCTAGTTACGGTTGAGTTTAGAAGTCTATTGTCTGGAGAACTGTTTTAAAATCAAGTCTTAATAAATGCATTTTCTGCCGTTTATAACAAAAATTCTAGTTGGGTGTCAATGATCATAAAAGGCAATTAGGAAAAATAAATTGTGCTGTAGGCGATTCATTGATCGATTTTTCCCTAAATACTGACCATTCTTCCAAACGCACTTTAGGGAACGTTGTCCAAGACTATATCCCAGAATTGCTGTTATTGCGTCCTTGTGTAATTATGCATTGCAATTTTTTAATTTTTCTTTGGATTTGACGAATGTTTTTTACTGCCTTGTAAGTGATGTCAAGGCGTCCGAAAAAATAAAAAACTGTATCTAAGTTGCATTGTGTCGCAGGGCTTTTAGCATTAATAATTTACTAATGGCTCTCCCTATAGGTCAGTGGATAGGGAACATACCAAGATTATATGGTATTTTAAATGAAACACTTATAATTAAGGAGAAGTGAACAAACCCGTAATTTAGTGGGGTAAGTTCGTTTAGGAAGTTAGTTCTTTGGGCTCGAGTATGAACCGATCTTCTTAGTTTACGTTGATAGTCTCTCTCACCCCTGCACATAACTTCTTCGAAAACGTATTTCTTTTCTGTCGAAATGTACATACACAAATACAACGATGTTGAAAGTGTCTGAATGAACACGACTTTCACTGACCGCAACAGCACAAAACGTCTACTTCCGCGTCAAAGGATTCGGCTGTTTCAGGGACGAAGCATCCCTCCTTAGGTAATAACCTCGAGAAATACGACATCATTGTCGAGCCATACCACGCGCACAGGTTGGAAGGCGCGTGATTTGAGTGACGATCTAGTTGGCCTCTTAATTTAATGCGTAATCATTTGGGTCGAGAGTAGATACTTGTTGGCTGCGATAAGGGAAATTAACCGTCGTCTGTAGTGTCTAATCTCACGACGAAATACCTACATGTCACTTTGCCCTGCGCACCAGCAAAGGCCTACAAAACAACGAGTATTGAGGCTCTGATTAGAGTGTAGTCTGTATACTGCCGGAGCATAAAACCGAATAAACGAGTGGATAAAGGATGTTTGCTGATTCCCAAAAACTCCATTATAAAGTGTAACGAAGCAAACGCCAGCAGATGAATGCAGGTGACTTGGCGCCAGCACATATACCCTTGAGTCGGAAATGCTTACTAGGTATGCTATTGGGGAAGCTTCCGTAAGTACAAATACCTACGTAACCTCTGCAAAAATTGAAGAATGCATGCTCGAAACAACGGCAGGTTCTGACAGAAGGCAGACTTCCATGGGGACAGATAGGCAGAGACGGCGAACATTTGGCGCTTCGATATCATGGATATGAGCTAAGACAGAATTGAAGGACGGTTGATGAGAAGGCTCACATCAGAGTTCGTTTCCCGGCATGAGACCTTTGGGGGAACCCCGTGGGTGCATACTCCTCGCTGAGCAGAGGCTTCACGAGTACAGCAATTAACATGGGAATGTGCGGGTTAGGAGTGGGTTTCAAAAGACTTTTGGCTCGTCAATGAACACTGCAAAATGATAAGAGTAATCGCTGATGGCACTCGATTTCACAGGGCGTATCACCGGAAAAAACGAAGGGATCTTGATATATGCAAGTTTTTTGCACTGACATTTCTTAAGTTAACAAGCCCTCATCGCCAAAAGACACGGTAGCACCGCTACCCACAGTATATAACGATATTTTTGGCGGCGCCGCTCAACTGCCGGTCATTCAGGTGGCTATGCATTTGTTCAACCCTCGGCATTTATCGCTGATCAGAGGTGGAGGTTAGAGCTGCCATTGTCCGCTGTACAACTGCATTGACGTTGCTGCGATCGCCAAATTCCGCTGGTTACCAGAAGAAACTGCCCTCAGTGCATTCCTCGCACTAGCCCAAACTTTCGCTGCTTCTGACGGCGATTTCCTGACCTATGCGATTCTTTGTAAGATCGAGGCCGTTGAGGTGGCACCAGATACATATAAGATGACAAACAGTGAAGGGGTGTTCAATAGGAGAGGTTTGTTTAGGGTCTGAGGTTTCAAAATATTGGTTCCGACTACCCATCTTCAGAGATTAAAGAGTTGTGTGAACAACTTTCACTAGATGGCGCACTTTTTTGCGATGCGAGGGTCGCCGATGCCAACTGTCGGGCAGAGTCAGATCTCATTTGCACCGTAACTTGATGACTTAGCGTTGTCTCTTGCAGTAGAAAATATTCACAGTTAGGCTGGTGGCCATCATGGTCTACTAGGTTTATACTATAACCAAATATACCGAGAGAAGGACTATAATTGGGCAGTTCAGGGACGTTTGGCGTCGTCTGTTCCCATATCGCTTCATTCAGCGAGGGACCTCTTCCAGATTTCTTGAGAGGTGCATCTTCTCAATCAGATTAAGCATGTTTTGATGGCGTGTATTTTAAGAATGGGTGATATAATCCCAAAACACAAACCACTGACAGACCCAGCATTAGACTAGGCCAGCTTGCTTTTTTTCCGTCTTGGTTAAGTGTGTTAGGCTAGTTTATAACAGTTATGTAGTACCCTTTAATACACAAAGTTCTGCTGTTTCGGTAATGTCTAGATAAGTGGACGGATGTATAGACATCGGCACAAATAAAATGCTAGTTAAAGGGAGTGACGCAGGGTCCGTCAGGGCTGGCCCTTTTCGAATTTACATAACAGCAGCCAGTCTTTAAGGGGATTTCGATCCAAGGATTTAAACGGTCAGCAGCAGTTCTGCATTACCTAACTGACCAGAAGCAACAACATACAGTAGATGTGCTAAGTCATGAAATGTCAACCAAAATTTCGAAATGCGTTCTCGTTTCGAAAAGATAAATTAAGTAGTGTTGTAAAACTAATCATGATGCAGCATAAATCAGTAATGATCCAGTTACCTCAGGGTATCGGCTTTCGAAAGAACTTATTTTCGGCTGCACGCAAGATCTATACTCTGCAAAAAAATGACTAATTAAGTATCATGCAATTTTCTTATTGATTTTCGATGCCCTTGAAAATCCAACTATATTTCATGGAAAACATACATAAAAATATTCATTCTTTTAATTATTCGGTAGAAAATCACGTCTTATTCCAATTTCATACTCAAAAGAAGAGTATAATTCGGTTTTAAAAAGTTTCTTATTGTGAGATTTTTTAATACCGTTAAATGGCCGTTTATGAAACGTCATGTATCTGCATTTACGAATGTGGTCTGTAAAGTTAACAATATCGCTCATATCCACTGCTTAATTTTATGAACCTCATATGTTCTCCTCCTAACACCGTAGAGAAATGCATGGTTTTCCATAGACGGAAAATATACAGCATGTAGTTTTGAAACCCTGAATGCACGTGTAACAGCAGGTCGGGTTCAAAATTATTCGGGGATAAGAAAAGTCTTTTAAAACCGAATTATACTCTTTTTGAGTATGAAATTGGAAGAATGCGTGATTTTCTATCGAATAAGTAAAAGAATGAGTATTTTTATGCATGTTTTCCATGAAATATAGTTGGATTTTCAAGGGCATCGAAAATCAATAAGAAAATTGCATGCTACTTAATTAGTCATTTTTTGCAGAGTATAGATCTTGCGTGCAGCCGAAAATAAGTTCTTTCGAAAGCCGACACCCTGAGGTAACTGGATCATTACTGATTTATGCTGCATCATGATTAGTTTTGCAACACTACTTAATTTATCTTTTCGAAACGAGAACGCATTTCGAAATTTTGGTTGACATTTCATGACTTAGCACATCTACTGTATGCTTCTCGTGGCAGCCGAGGGAAGTGACTGTTTGTCGCTATGAAAAGGGCCGCAAACAACTGGGCTGTTATGCTACCACTTACCTCTATGCTATTAATGGGACATCTTTAAAGTTTGTGTTTAAACTTATCTGTAACTATTTCTATCGCCATGTTAACTCCTGTCAAATCATTGCATCTTTATCGTACGTAACTCAGAGTGGGTCAGTGCCGCCAAAGGTAGTTGATTCAGTCGTTAAAGACCGTACGATAAAATAGAGAAATCTCATTATACCGTGGTAGAGGCGCATTCACGCCCTCTGTAGACTCATATTCTAGATAAAATGCTTGCGCGAGCGCGAACAATTGCGGACGGTGGTCAAGATATGGGGGGGGGGGGTGATGAGTAAATAAGTGTGGCTGAGAGGGATGTTCGAGGGTCTCGTTTGCCTTTCTGGGCCAATTTCCGTTATGCGGTTGGTCATTTTTCGAAATGGTAGGTGTCCTTCTGTTCATTACCTCTGATCCGGAGAACGGAGGCAGTTTGCTCTGAGCGGTGCGCGCTCACTGCAATGTGACGATGATGTAGGTGTCTTCGTAGTTATGTCCACATACTTGGCTGGAGTTTAGACGGAGTGTGCACTGTATTTTTGCAACGTACTCAGGTCAGGACTGGCGGAAGCGGTTGCACTAAGATTATCAATGGATAGTCAAAATAGGCGGACCGACAGAGACTGAGGACTGGAGTTAATCTTTCCCGTTTATGTGCAGTCGATGGGCGTTCGCATCCGTATCGCAGTTCTGGAAGACTCGAGGTTTTAATTCACTTGATCGTTTCGAGCATAAACTAGGCTTAGGTCTGTCAGCTCTGCTCCTACGCAGTGGGACTTGCTTAACGTGCAAGTGATATCTGGTGTCATGTTCAAGGGATAATGCTGATCCTCCGTTCACCCCAAACCAATGAACTCTAAATCTACCCGCGGTCTTCCCAGTCTAGTGTTTAAGCGCCCTCGACAGATAACAGTAAATATGCCCCAAGTGTCTTTGTCGTACACTCTACTTCATCATCATGAATTTAAAATAAATTTCATGCAAAGAACTATTTTGGATTTCCACCCATACCAAAACTCTTTTTTCTTTGCAGGTTTTCCGAGAGGATTTAAGGGGCATTCAAACCAGTCTCAATATCCTTGTTGACGAGATCCAACAGTTTGAGAGGCAACTAAGAACAGCCATCGCATCCAAAGGTACTGATAACATCTCACGTCATTTACTTCCTTTCGGTTTTTTCAATGATTACGGGAGTGATGTGTGCCCTCGCAATAGGTGACGTTGATTGCTTCTCTGGCCACTCTGTGCCGACATACGTTGCTAAAGCTTATACTCATCAGTCTAGGCTGGGTTCTCTGTGGCACGGATACCACTGAAATATCGCCCTCCTCGGCATGTGTTGCGTGTCATTTTGTGATATAAGTATGTCGTCGGGCATTCGGGGATGGAATTCACCGACCCGCCCGGGTTTCAGGATATGACGTTCAGGATTTCATCTAGTCATAGAGCTCGAGGTCTTTGCCGGTAATGCCATAGAGTGTCAGCAATCCACTTGCCATAACCGATGCCGAGAAGACCCGTCTTTGTCAGCGCTGATCAGACTGATAGCCATACACAAGCGAAAGAAGACCAGGTGATGAAAGCGTACAGCTCAGAAGGACTCTCGCTTAGTCTTTTAATGCTGATCGTAATCAAAAATACTTGCTCAAAAATAATAGGATGTTATCGGCTGCTTAATTTAGATTGTTTGACTGACATTTAATATGTAAATCTGCTTCATTTCCTTCTATGCCTCACTTTCACCTGCTATCGCGCGAGCTGCATTAACAGTCACAGCTGTCACCACGCATACTTCTATTTGAGAGGAGCTGATACTAACATCTTTGAAGTTTGGGATGATCAGAGGTTGACCTACACTTCAAAAGAATACTTGGGTGTTACTGATTGAGGTTATTATTGATTTTATATAACAAAATGTTTGAAAGATGTTGACTATCTTAGTTCGTTAAGTTAGTGTATTCTAGCAGTCATCGAGTTCAGTGAATTGGGCAAACTTTGATAGTAAATTTAACAGTAATAAGTTTTCGGCTACGAGATTTTCTCCATACCAAAACGAACCGAATTTTCCTAGCGACCCCTTCAAAGGCGAAAATTACGCAAAACTTTGTCACCATGGGCCCGCTATTTTCGAGGGTTTGCGGTACCGATGTGCGGGATCATAATCACAAAGGCATGCGCCATCTAATGGTAACTTCTGTGGAGAAGCTCTCTGGTCATTTACTCCGATTTTCGCAAAGATTTATGCGCAAACGAAGAACATATATTTTTTATTCTGTTTTATATGTTCATATACGGTCAAAAAGTTAATCGAATCTTCATTTATTATAATACGAAATGAGGCCAGCGTTAAGCAAAATAGCTAAAAGTGGAAGACTATGGAAGGAACGTCAATCTTTTGACTGCTGGGTTCCATTTTTGTGGCCTATCTGCTTTAGCATCTGCCGAGTTAACGTTTGCTCGCATTTTCGTTTTAACTTCAGCACTGCACGGAGTCCAGGATGCCTTGCCAAGGCCGCATGTACACGTATGGAGTCCTGTCTGTAGAACATGCATGCGACACAGCTGGGTGCCTAAAAACTACGTAAAAGGGCTCAATATTAGCAGATATATATAACAAGGGAACAGTTTCCTTATCCTGAACATCAACTATTCACAAGGCCATTAAGACTATAAATATGTGATTATCTACAAACCTGATCAGAGAAATGATTCCTTCGTCAGTGGTCTTCTGAATACGCTCCTTGTTGTATAAAACCTTTCAAAATCATTTGGGAGCATCTGTGCCGCCAGGCAGTTATCGTTCTGCGAAACGGACTGCCACATGGGACTGGAGCAAATTCAAATTAGCGATTAGCATGTTATTGTGCAGGATGTGACCCATCAATTCTGAAAGCTATTCAATTTAAGCTACTTTGAAATTTAAATTCGTGTTTGTGCTGGTGTCGCAACCTGCACTGTCCGCATTTGGACTTCAGCAGCAAGGTTTCCTTTGTAACAAATTGCCCTGCCAATCGTGTTTTAAGCCCGTCCGGTTGTTAACAACTTCCCTCTGCTAATATAGCGTTCAGGAGCAAGATGCTCCTTAGTAAGTATGATTTCTGGGATGTGTGGCACAAGAGCTCAAAGCTGACAGCTGAGTTGTGGAACTATATGCTACTTAAGCACGTCCTCCATTAAAGGCAAGACCTAGGCGCAGTGGCCAAAAAAGGGTAAGCAGCCCGCCCACAACGGTAACACACCACCCATTGCCCACTCCATACGGCAGTCAGTGAGGTCTCGAATCTCACCTGCGTGAGAATGGCATAAACGCCATGGTAAGAAGGAGACATACAGTTTCGCTCTTTATTCTGAGCGAGACCGATAGATTATATTGGTTTATAGCTCTCCGAGCCACGATCATTAACGTACCTTAAAAAATTCACTAACGTCAAATTTATTATAACGGTTTGTCTCGAGGGTGGATTCCTCAGTATCGGCCTTAATCTCCACTTCATATCCTACGCACCATCGAATATTCCGAGTCAAGTCGACTGCGAATAGAATTGGACGCAGTGGACGAAAAAACTAGATGGTCCGTCTGCGCGTACTACACACGACTTGGTCACCCCTTGTCAAGCTAAATCAGAGGGCATATTTTCTACGTAAATGACATGTCCATGGCGTTAGATGCCTCGTTCCACATGCCATGGCGGCGCTGGCAAGCTACGCCGCATGCGTCCTGTCAGAGTGATGCGAGTGAGGCGTGTACAGAAGAACGGTGCGGTCGTTCCAGATGGAGTACTGTAGCATTCTGAAGGCCTGAATAACAAATTCGTCGTTGATCCTGAGGTTTCGTGAAATTGTGCACTCCAGGTACGCAAACTTCTCCGTTGATGTGAAGTGAGTTCCACTGGCATTGATCGGGGATTCGATGTGGTCAGAATTTGGAGCCCGGTGGTGCAGAATCGCTCTATTCTCCGCGCGGGCTGCCAGCTGGAGACGAGGGAGTTCGCACTCCACTGCACGTCTCCTGTCGGTGTGGTATTTAGCATATAGTCATTCGCATGTATGTCGTGGACACTGACCTCGGAAACTCCCAGCTGTCTGCATGCAACGGTTGCTGGGCAGTTGTCCGTCGGTTGGGTTGACGACGTCGACGGCTGGCCGCTCCTTACGGTGGACCTCCATTGACATTGCGACGAACATGACGCTGAAGGGCGTGGATCGAGTGCTGAGCCCTGCTTCACTCCATTAGTCGCTGTCCCATTCTTTGTGACGTGCACCGTCATCCCATCACATAGTCATCCTCCCATCCGCGTCAATCACTCTGGACATATGACTTTCATTATGATTTACCAGCGTCCAACCCGGGTCATTGCGTCAAGGGCTCACTTCAGCTCCATATAATTGGTGTAGAGAGTTACGCATACTTCCTGACATGTTTATTGCATTTGGCGGACCGCGAAGTCCCCTTTTCAGATTTATGACCATGCGTTTGAGTTGGGCTTGGACAAAAACTTTATCAGAAAGGTTGGGGAGGCAGGTGCCTCTTCGGTTATCTCAGAGTTGTTTGTTCCCCGTGTTGGGATATGTAAACGATAGTTACATTGTTGAGCTTCTCGGGATTTATTCCAAAAACTACATCTTCCGGGATAGTAAAGCACGTTTGTCAATCAATGAAGGGCTGCCTTATTTGTAACTTCCGCATGGGGTTGCGTCGGGCTATTGCACCGTCTTCATGAACATTCAACGGAAGACTGGCAACCAGTCTCCTCTTCTTCTAACCATTAACGACAATCGCACGCCATGTGCATGTCCACATGATCATGTAGATGGGTTTGTTTGCTATAAAGGTCTTCCTTTTGTGTGCGCTAAACCGATTTTATTATTGCATTCCACACAGTGGATGCGCCAGCTCATGAAATGTTGACCGAAATTCTGAAAGGAGTTCTCGACGCAGAAGGATTACTTGAATAGGGTTGTAATATTTATTGCCGTGCAGTATAATTCCGTAATAATTCATTTACTTTGAGATACCGGCTCTTAGACGAACTTCTTTCCCACCTACCTGCAAGAACTACACTTTGTAAAAAAGGACTACTTAAGTAGCATACATTTTTCTCATTGATTTTCGATGTCCTTGTAAATCCATATATTTCACAGAAAACATGGATAAAAATATTCATTCTTTTACTCATTTGGTAGAAAATCGCGTCTTCTTAAAATTTTATATTTAAACGAAGTGTATAATTTGGTTTTAAAAAGCTCTCAATTCCCGTATAGTTTTGAACACTTTCATTCAGGGTTTCTGAACTACAAGCTGTATACGTTCCGTGTGCGGGAAATCATACGTTTAATACGGTATTAAGGGGGACCATATATGTTTAATAAGATTTAAAGGCGGATTTGAGTCATACTGTAAACTGTACAGGTCACATTAGTAAATGCAGAGGCACGACGTTTTATGAATGGGCATTTCACGGTCTTCAAAAATTCCATAATTAGAAACTTTTTAAAACCCAATTATACCCCTTCTTTAAGTGAAAAATTTAAAGAAGACGTAGTTCTCTACCAAATGAGTAAAATGAGTATTTTTATACGTGCTTTTATGAAGTATATTTAAATTTGTAAGGGCATCGAAAATCAAGGAGAAAAATTCATACTACATAAGTGGGCATTTTTTCGCAGTATAATTTTTGCAGGTGGCCGAAAATAAGTTCGTATAAAATCCTCATCCCGCAGTAACTGAATTATCATGGGATTATGCTGCACGGTGATTAATATTACAAACCCACTTAAATAATTTTTTGAGTCGAAAACGCATTTTAGAAGTTGGCAGATCTACGGTATATGCGTTCTTTGGAACCACCGTGCCTGTACATTAGAAGTCTTATAGTGTACTGTAGTAGTCCGTTTACCTTTTTGCCAGCCTTGGAATACAACAAAGCCAAATAATCAGAACTCCAGAAAGCACTGCAGCATTTAATTCGACCATTTGGTCCTACTCGCAAGATCTATAAGGTTAAAGTACTAAACAAATCAAGTTTTGACTCGCAGCGAAATAACTCTTGCCAACCAAGATCTCAAATACGACATCCATTCAAATGCCAGTTAGCTTCTTTACCAACCGAAATCACTTAAGTCTTCTATGTTTCTAACTCCTTACCCCTGTCAACTTAAGATTTTGATAACACAAGTCTAACCTACTTTGTGTATTCTTTAGAGAGAACTGTCTCGCAAAATGCGGCCTAGCCCTTCATGTGCGTGGTGTATTATCTTAGGCTATGTAATCATCTGAAATGATTATGTAAATCCCGAATTGCCTTGAGTTGTAGCCAATATGTTGCAGTTAAGAAAGCACTTTAATGTCCCATGTTTGTGGTTCACAAATGTGCTGATCTGTACATTGAACCTCCGGGTTATTTGGGATTTTTGGAACGTTTGTTCAACGTCTTTACCGATTTATGTGTTGCATGCAAATTACTGACACGCCGCGTTTCTTGGAAGTCCTATTTTCCTGAAGCCACCGAATTTTATAATGTAACGATGTGCAGTTGTTTCAATCCAGACCGAATTTAGATCACTGATTCCCCTTCTCTTGTTTTGTTGTGTTAATCTCAACCACTTATCTGGCTAATTTGGAAACTGCTAACTCATGTTTTCGTCTGGACTAGTTAGAAGACTGTGCGCCAACTATTTCACCTCCATCAAATGCATTCGTGTTCGTTATCGGCAACGAGGTTATTTCCAACGCTGTGTGACACTGAAACGCCACTGAGTCATGGAGCATAAAAAAGACATCACCCACTAAGGTACTCTGACAATCGACAGGCTTGCGGTGAACTTATTGGATAAAAATAATGTGGTAAGGAGGCAAGGCGCTTTACTAAACGTTTCTGCCTAACTTTCAAAAGGATTCAGCAGTCCTGCACACGCCGGTTTGGCATGAATGTAGACTCCTAGGGCGCAGTAATTAATGTTTTGGTGCCGGCGGCCAGTATTTTATCTAGAATAGCATTACCCACTAAGACAAGGGGGACTGAAATGACCGTTTCAGGCTTGTTGGCCGTCGCCAGACAGCCAACTCGCCAGGCTCTTACTCGTGACCTGTTGGTTAGATGTATAATGCCCTAACCACTGGGCCATGGGCTCGTTATATCGTCGTCTGAGATTGAGTGCACTGAAAATGGTAGAGGGACCTGCGGAGAGGGAGAGAAAGAGAGAGAGACAGAACGCTAAGGCACAACGGGACGAGTAATTTCGGTAACGCGATCGGTGCGCGCCTCTCTACCAGTATTCTGTTCGCCTGATACATCGCAAACAGAGAATGATATTTTACGAGAGTTGGCATTTATGGCACCTCATCCGCTCCAAAATACGCCCCAGACCTATATGAATAGGTACCTGCGCCGAAAGTGTACACGTTGCGATTAGGTACTAAACGAAAATCAAGGACTTCAATACCTTAACTCCTACCAGAAACGTCTCGGTAGTCAACGAGCGCATGCTAAAACTAGCCGATGTTTTTCTCTGTCGTCAGAATCTAGCCCCGCTCTGCCGCCAAATCTTGTCGCCCAAGGACCGGTTGTTGCCCAGACTCATACTAACAGTTTTCTCCCCATTAATTGACGAAACTTCCGGCCCATTATCGTAGCATGATTTACGAAACATAGACAAGAAGATGGGACCCGCATGCACTGTCAGTGAGACAAGTAGGTCTGCATTCGCAGGTTCTCATTAAAGGACTTGAAACTGGTCACTGGTCTCTTTCCCACAGGGCTTAGCTATTTGGTTCGACTGATGGCAAAAAGTTTGAGGTATTACTTGAGCTTTTCCCTTTGAAGCTAGCTTCTCGGAATCTAACTATCCAGCTAACTGTCCTCACCTTGACAATTATAGATATACGGGGGGAATAAGCAGAATGTTCTTTAGAAGACCGGCATTCTTCTCATCCATTATCTCTGATAACGGGTCTGAGTATCCAGTGTCCCCCTCCCCAAGGAGCGAACCCTTATCTCTCATAAGTATGTCAGTTGTCGCAAAGTGCGTCCTCGCAATTTGCCATAAATACTGCAGAGGGGCATATACTGGTACAGCAGAATTAATTTTATGGCTGATTTAAGCGTATTTGCCCTTCCTAAACTTTGTCTGTGTGTTCTGATGTTTTGGTGGCGTTGGCCTAAGAAAGCTCATTTATAATGTCCCACTTAATTGGCTGATGTGCCGTGGTTGACAAAATTAGCACTTTGATTTATCTGAACATGTTCTCCCAGTGCATTTTAAATACCCATTTGTTTAGGTTTTTTCAAAGCATTGATATTTTAGCCGATTTTGAATAATTCATATTGACCCAACTGTGAAAAACTCAGCGCCTAGGTGGGATTCGAACCCACGCACTTACTGTATCAGATTTGGTGGATTCCAGACGTTGCAGTAGGTTGGGCGGGTAACTTGACCCAAATGTGATTAAACTCGCGTCGTCCAGCGGGGCCTCGTAGCTCAGGTGGTTAGAGCGCTGGCTGCGCTAAAGCCTTCCCCTTACTGCGTGGGTTCGAATCCCACTGACGCGCCGAGTTTTTCACAGTTGGGTCAATATGAATTTTTCCAAAGCAGTTACTTGGGAAATTTCGGCTTATCTGATTCAGAAAATATCATGACAGTATCTGATTAGCCTTTGAGAGGAAAGAATGTTCTAATAGGTCAGAGGGCGGGCAGCTTTCGAGTTAAGGTTCCTCTGATACTGAATATTAATAATCGTAGATAAAACTATTAATAGCTATTGCGTTAACAAACAAATTAACGCTGCTTATAGCTGCTAAAAACACGAACTACATTTTTAGAATACCACGAAATTACCCTAAGTGTGCTACCCTAAAATACACGGTTTCGACAGCTTATCATCGTTTTCTGTGACTCGCGCATGACACGCCGTTTTGATGTCTTCATGGAATGGAAATACCTAACATTCTTTTGGAAGTAGAGATTAATAGCGGCGCTGGCGCCTGCCGTTGGCTTTCTAATAACTTGAGACAGGACGACCCGAGCAGAGAGCTTGAATTGTTCACAAAACAAATTTTCACAACATCTGGCATAGAGTTTGGAGGCGAGTTTTATTGCAAAACAGTTAAGCCATACTACGTACTACTACTAGTTTTTGTGCTAGAAGCTCAGCGAGAAGACTGACGATTGATAAGTCGTCTTAACGTACCAGGTTGTCTAGCAAACAGCATAATTCATGAACCACTGTTACTCGCACATTTCAACCTGCTCACTTCCTTGATAACAACTGCATCTTACGATTTAAAACGTTTATTCGTTCAGTGGTCACTAGCACTTCAGCTTACAACGTCCGCATAAAAACGTGGTAAGGAGAAATTTGTCATACTTTGGAGCGGTAAGTTGGTTGCTCCTTGCAAACTTACCGAGCCAGACCATTGCACAGAATTCTCGAGTACACAAGGGCCTGTGTTTCTTTCCTTCTCTATTCATTAACAGTACTTCTTTTGAAGACTACAGTGGACTAACAATTGATAAGCATTTCTACCAGATTTCGTAGCAGTTGAAAGATCTTTCATCTATTATTTGGCTAATTTGCAGCCTCCATGCTCTTCTTACTGCTATTTCAGCTGTTTTTCCTAACATCCACATTTAAAATTTTGTTATTAATGATGATTCATCAGTTCCCTCGTGCTTCGCTAAAGTTGGCTCAGTAAGCGTCTCCCCATCCTCCAGTTTTGTAATTTTGTGAGCTTGTCTTAATGGCTGGTATAATTTCAGTGACATTAAGTACTATCATTTGTTTTTATATTATTTACGGTTCAGGTTTATCAGAGGCTCCATCACAAATAATTCACACCCTCGACTGTCTCCCTGAGTAAGGGACTGTTCATCAAGCCGTCTTACTGTTTTCCTATGTTCAATTTGTATCTTATTTGTCTTTTTTGACCAAAACTGCCTTTATATGACGACAGTTTGACCGTCACGAACGACGATGTCCGCCGTGTGCCCCACGGGGTGATGTGCGCAAAAAAGCGACTTCCGCGTAAATTATTTCGTAGTACGGCCGACTTGCGCAGCATCTCCCGCACTCACACCTCTCTCACTAACATAGGGCCCAATTGGTAAGACACAGGAACACAGGCGGTGGGATCGGGCGTAGGAGCTGGTAAGGCAAAATATCCTTCCCACGCGTGCCACGCGAGACTACATCCCTACCCGCCTGCTGTGCGCTGGCAGTTCTCTGGCACCTGATTCACTGCCGGTGCATGCGTTTGCGGCCCCGCCGGGTATACAGGCCGTGTGCATGGTCGCCCAGTGACTTGCGCCATCCTACTCTTTCTAACCTGGCTTAGAAGGCTGCCAATTGACGGTAAACTTGGACCTCGCAGTCGGCGCAGTATATGTGTTTATGTGAAGCGGTGGACTAGTGATCTGAGCGTCAGGCTACAATGACTCCTTCCGAGCAGTCCTCCCCTTTTCTTTTTTGATGTATAAAATCCTGGTCAGTATGTGCTGTTGACCAGGGAGTGGAGTGGTCCGCCTAGCTGCGGGTCCGGCTATGCCAGCCACCTACACACTCCACACGCTTCCGGTCTTCTTGACTATCTCCTGATACCGCATTCATGTGAGGGAGGAGAGAGTGCGGTAGATGTTGCGCTACTCTATTACCATTATAAACTTATTCACGCGCAAGTCACCGTGCCTGTTCTCAGTGTGTCGTGGAGCGCACGGTGGACGTCGTCGGTAACGACGGTCAGAATGCATCAAGCTTTAACAGGGCGGCTCGGATCTGACATGTGTAGAAGTGCCATGAGGGCCACGCTCAGGAGGAACCACTGAGCTTGACGCTCAATCCGCGAACTGGTTAACCTCATCATCATCAGATCGTTCGTAAATGCCATCGCAACTGCCTAGGGATAAATGGAAAGAATTAGACGGCATTTAGAGATATTAATTACTCGTCTTCGAGAACTTAAGTCCTGACGCTACGGCTGCTGTTTAGCCCGTCATGTAAGATGACTAAAAATTTCACTTACCAAGCTGTACCTCGAAGTGTCAGAAAGAGACACATCCTGAGCTGAATATCCTACGAAACTTCAGTGGATAGTTACACCGTGATAGGATGGATCCAGCGGGTTTTATAAGACAAACAGGTTTTCGGTTTTGCTAGGGTCTTGTTAAGCTCAGAAATTAGGCTTTTTAATCAATTAGCAATTGGTAGGACTGCTGATCAGCGAGTAGACTCTGAATTTTTGTGATATCTCTCACACCTGGAAGGCGGCTATCATAAGCCGGGGTTTCTACAGTGTCAGACGATACATTTGAGATCTATTTTCCAGATGTCAGTCCAATTTCACCGGCACGCCTATCTTATAAGGTTTCAAAATACTGGCTTCATGAGAGATAGGGTATTAGACTTAGGAAGCTCGGTTTAGATCATGATCAGCTTAGCAGGATCAGCATCTATGTCTGCTGCACGTTGGCTGATAATCTTTTGACCCGACGAGTGGGCTCTCAGGTCACCGGGACGAACAAAAATCGCACATGATCATTTAACTTCTGCCTAGATGACTATTGATTGTTCAGCCAATAATCTACTACAGCTGTCACACGAATGAGGCATCGACGGCCAATTATGACGGGATAGATTTAAATAGCTGGTCGGGACTACAGGCAGTCAACTCAAAACTTCGGTTTAATTTATGTTTAATATCTATATCTAGTGCAGTTTTTGAGGGTAGACTTCCATCTGGTCTATTTGAAATGGAAAATTATCCAACTATGCTTTCTCCCTCTTCAACTGATATAGTCGTTTTTGGCCGCACCAAAGCGCAAAGTTTAATGTTATAGAAGACCAAATTTTAAGATTAACGAAGGCATTTTAGAAACGTCGATATCTTCTTACCTAGGTGAGCATACTCTGGCTGTAGGTCCAGGATTATACTGGCTGACGGATGAATTATACTCTCGCTGATACTTGACATGTTTCAGTAAAACAGATATCTTTTCTGTGAGCATTTTTCGATAAGCGTGGCTGATTGATCGTCTAGAAAGCAAACGCACGTTTTCTGTCTCATTTGGTGATTTAGTAGTATTTGGGTGAGTCTGTGCCGTAGATTGACAGGGGAAAAACTCTCAAGTCAGTCTCTATCCAGCATCGTGCTCGCTGATGGCTGAGCATCTTTCTACCGACCCATGCAAATTAATTTTATGTAATTCAACCTAATCCAGAAGTGCATCTACTCCGTTTTACAAGTTGAATTACTTATTACTGGAATAAGAGCGAAAACCAGTCATGTCTCGCGCATATGTCATTGGAAATCACGCCTTCCCAAACTTATCAATTATAGGAAGAGTGCAATTCGGTTTTTACAAAGGCTTTCGTTTTGAAGATTTTGGGGACGTCCGTTTGAATATGAATGTATAGGCTCTGAAGTGCTGCTTACTAAATATGCGACGAAATCCAGGCTTATATCAATACTGAATGAGTACCGAGCAGCCTTTTTGTGTGTATATGCAGAGTTAGATTAGTTTGCCTCAAGAAAGATCATGGAAGATAGCGTGAGGACCCTAAATAAGTGAAAGCCTTGTCTTTTCAAACTACCAGTATACGTTTTCTAAAGTAGCAAATGTTCCTTGCTTCTAGTTAAACTATTTCAGCACGATCTAATTTTTCAGATAATGGGAAGAGAGAAAATCAGTTTTTGGCTTATTTTAAAAAAAATTGACTAAACTAGTACAGCCACCGGAAGTCGATAAAAACACTGCGCAATACTTAGGCAATGAGCAGATGGCGAGAATGATTCACAAGCGAGCTGGCCCTTGTGCAGGAGTGGGCTTGATCGAAGTTCCCTTTTTAATTAGTCGTGCGGCTTTTCTTAAGTAATAGGTAGCAAAAGGCGAATTAAAATGGAGATTTCATATGATGCAACCAAGCGCAACAACCGTACATTACGTCGGAATTACTGTTTTGCCCCCAGTACAGGCTTCTATTAGTAACAGTACGTGGTTGCGGAGTCGCGATTATGTCATGACATTTAACCGTACATCACGTCGAATTAATTTACCATTGCGTCTATAAAAATTTGTTCTGTTTCACAAACAGGTTTGGAACGAGATTGATTCTGTTTCAGGAGATTTTGTGCGATAATGCATAGAAAGCTATCCCGTCACCGTGCCCCATTCCGCCAAGGTCCTCATGACTCATGAATACTTTCGAAAATTCATAGGATAGGCGGCATTGGCGTCAATGATTTCAAAGTTTAAAAATTCATCCGCAAACGGGGTTGCGTCTCCCTGAAATAGGTCGGACTACTTATTAGTCATGTGGGCGGTTTTTCTTGCCTTTGAATGTCAAAGAAGGATTAGTTCAGATAATGCATGTTGAATGCTCAGATTTGTCTTAATTAATTCTCTGCCTAGACACCAGACACCGCGCAAACGCACAGCCACCGAGTACCAGCGCCGTTGTGAACCATGTGAAGAACATTCGTAAGGGCATCAACCTCATGGCCGAACTCCATAATCATCTACCCGATCCGAAGATTGTTAGTCTTGGCAACTGCTTCCTCGAGTCCATGGCGTGGCTCGAGCGTATAGCTGCTGGCCAACAATTTCCACACATTCACGACCGACTCGTAAAGTCTGTCTGGTTGCCCACATTCACGGATCAGTCGGTTCAGTTCTTACAAAACTACTTGGATGAAAAGAACAAGATCTTCTTGAAATCCCTTGGACCGGCTTGGAATGAGGAAGGGTAGGTGAACTCTTTCTTCATACTTAGATCAATTTCAAGAAGAAATACGGCTTGTCTGCCCCTTCTGATCCAAAACTTGAAAGTCGGCTTAGATAAGCATCATTTTAAGCCGAAAGCAAGCGTACACAGTCATTTGTTAATTATGTCACGATCGAGGCAGACATACTTGCTTTCCCAGTAAACGCTGGTGGAACTTGACGCATAGTAATTTCTCAATCAACTGGCTGGCAACCCGGCCTATTGTTTTCGAAGGAAAAGCAGCTTTAGCTTTCGACACTCGAAGACTTTCGGCTAAATACCAAGTACGGGGAAAGTGGACGGTCAACAGCAATGGTATATCCTAACTATTTTATGCTTCAGCAGGGATGAAAGTGAAAGAAGCCGTCAACGCTGTGGGGAATATGGATCGATAGTTTACAGTCTTTAATTTGCGATCAGAGAGTTACCACAAGCTTTAGAGAGATGTGAATAAGCGGCTAAAGCACACGAGTCCTCCCATTATAATCCTACAGGCCGCAACGATAAAACAATCACCAGTCATTAGACGATGCGGAACATCTTAGGTAGTTGTGCACCCTTCCCTCGTCTGACAACATCCAGCGAATTTAAAAACTAATTTGACAGTTTGCAAAGTGCTATTAACTCACTTGCAGCAAGGTAATGATATATATGTTTACATATACATGTCAACGGCGCCAGCTGACGGAAAAAATGGGATACAGCCGATATACAACATATGTGACATGACAGCAGGACAGGCTGTAAGGGGAACGGGCATCGTTAGGAGTCAAGGGAAGAGGAAAACGCGATGGCTAGAACAAGAGTTTTGGTCGTTTGCTATTCGGGGTTCACACTTGAGTCCATCATCAGAGATAGAATCCAATAAGGGTTTTGTTTGCATAATGGCTGCAATATTTACAGGGAGCATTTGCTATACTACCACATACCTGTTAAAACTGGTGGCTTCTGCATTCTTCCCAAATGGCTTTACCTTTTGTTGTTGTTGTTGTTGTTAATGGCCACAATTTCATCGCTTATGCCAATAATTGGTGTGATAATGGCTCGGGAATTTGATACATTGAGTGGGAACGGTGCTCGATCGCATGCCGCCCGTGTGAATAATTACTCTGCTCAATGAAATCCTCAGTACAAAATATGGAGGCGGCAGGTCGTCACGCTTGTGAATCGACTCCAGGTCAGAAATCCATGACTCAAGAAGCTTGCGGCTTATGCGACTATCGCATCTCGCTAGAGTTTCGACCCACTAAACTTGACTGTGTGATTAGATTCAGCCAAATGAGCCGCGACTTGGGAGTTTGCATGATTCCTCCTCACTGGGGCCGCTGTGCGCTCAATCACGCGTATCCAGAGTAGTCTTCCAGTTTATCCGACACATTTGCTCTGCCCAGAACTGCATCAGATTCAGGATACGAGTCCAAATATTTCCTGCCGTTGCAGAGGGTTTTAGTTCTCGCAACACGGCGCCCGACAGTTGTCCCCCGTTTGTGTGCAAAATGAGGGCAGGAGGGACCCAAACTTGAAGTACGTCCTTAGCGATTTTAACTCCGGATAATTAGGCCAGCCTATTTCATAATATAAATTGTTTAGTTGTGTGTCTGGGTCGAAAGATCGGAATAAGTCGTCGGGTGGTTAGACTGTGCTAGGATGCAACTAAGTGACAAAATATTAGGGAAGGCCAAAACTGATGAGCGGGGACTCTCAGGAGCTCTTAAGTGCTTTCGAAATCCTTTCTTTGTCAGTTTTACGAATTCATCGAGCCCTCCAGACTACAGTTATTAATGTGGACTTTCTCATAAGCGAAGAAGAAGACCGTAGAGCACTGCAACATTGTATTATTGTTCTGAACTTTAGAACTCGTGCAGGAGCCCATCGTCATAGATAGTAGCAGCAACGGAGCAGGCAACAGCTATCGGGCGTTTAAGCCAATCATCGATCTACGGCGCAAAACTAAGGGTGACTGCGTAGGGCTCTGTACGTCGACGCCAGATCGATAAATCGATTGACTGAGTTCTCATCCGGGGCCCAGGCCTCAATCGATTCTCGGCCTGTTTTGTTTCCGGTGTGGGCGACTATTTTGGTGGCTGCGAAGTTAGGCTCATAACTTCGTTTCGTAGGTGTGAGCGGCTATTGTTAATAATGCGTCACTGCGTCGCACAGCCAGCTTATGTTCGTGTATGCGCGATCCGAACATGCGTCCAGTCTGACCTGTGTAGTTACAAGGGCAGTTTTGGCACGGGATGCGATGTACTCCCTCGATTCAATGCTCTGCTAAAAATACTTAAAATGTCTCACTCCGACCAACTGTTGCCCTAAAAGGCAGCCCCACCTATAATTTGACAATGTGGATGTACTCAAAATTTAAGTTCCTCCAAGGCAATTCGATTACCTCAGTTGGATCAGTCTCTAAATTCTTCACAGACCGAGATAGGAGGACGCAATCGGACGAAATCATGGTCCCCTTTGAAGTGACGTTATTCACATCCATCCCACCAAACTTGGCCCTCGAAGTCTTGCGCAAGAGACTTAAAGAGGCGTACGACGAGACTCAGAATCTGAGGAAAATGAATTGCTCACCGGATGGGGGGACTTTTCTGGTCGACGTTTCGAACAGCTGGGGCTGCTCTCCATTGTCATAGAGTCAAGTGAAAAAATCGATCAAAATTTGTGAATAGCCTGCCGGATTAGTTGGCCTTGGGCTGATCGATTTTTTTATTCTTTCGTCCATCGTCAGAGATAGTAGCAGCAACAGAACTAGCGACAGTTATCGGGCGTTTAAGCCAATCATCGACCGACGGCGCAACACTGAAGGTGACTGCGTAGAGCTCAGAATTTTTGAATAGATTGCCGGATTAGTTGGCCTTGGGCTGATCGATTTTTTTCTTCTTTCGCTATCTTGGACTGCTGGCCGTCACCTGTGAGTTTTGGTGGCCTCCTGTATTACGTGCCGTCTCCTCAATTGCGTTTAGTTGCGTTTGCGTTCCCCTTTTGTGTGAAGTGGTCGACAGGCCGTGTTTGCTCGATATTCTTAGGTTCCGTATGGCTGTCTTGTCTTCGTCACGGTGTATGTAGTGACGTAGGACTTTGTAGGCCTAAGGAAGGTCTAGATGCCTGTTGATGGAGTTTACATCTGAGTACAAAGCCTCAAGTGTGAGACGCTCAGTCCTTGAGGTGCCCCTGTCTAAAACAGCTGCTCCTTGAAAATCAAAACTGTGACCAATTTCCCCGATGTGAGCCGCAAGCTGTGAATTTGGGTCTAATCTCCAAGTTGCCAGTTTTTGCTCGTGTAGGCGGGTCTGCAATTTCCGTCCGGTTTCCCCAACGTAGTTGCAATCTCCATCCTTACAACGTATTTGATAAACAACTGCTGAGGCTTCAGTGGGTGACAGTATGTCGTTGGGTTGCATCAAACGGCGACGAATTGTTGCACCCAAAATTGGACACCTCATGAGGCAGTTTGAATTCTGCCAACAAACTTTTTTCACTTTTGCTAGAGAGACCTATGAACAGACCGAGGGAACTCCAATGGGCTCACCGATCTCCGGTTCAGTGAAAGAGCTGGCGTTACAGGAATTAGAAAAGATTGCCTTCATCTAACATGAGCCAATATTTTTGCGCCGTTATGTAGACGACACGTTTATAATCACGAAGAAGGACGTGGTACAACATTTTCACAACCTACTCAACGCAGTCCTCCCTAATATAAAATTCACGAATGAAGAAGGACAGGAACAGCAATTGCCCTCCCAGGATGTGCTCGTAAGACGGAACCTTAACGGTGAACTCGAAACGACGGTTTATAGGAAGGCATAGAACACCGGACAACTTCTCAGTTTTCACAGCAACCTTCGGTGGCTCACAAACAAAGCTGTGTGAAGACGCTCTTCAAACGAATGCATATTCATTGCCGCAAACCGGAGGAAATAGCACGTGAGGCTCGTTATCTCTGTGACCAGTTTGTGGAAAATGGCTATCCAAATGCATAGATTAGTCGCTGCCTACGCAGTCGCCCCCAAGAGGACCGAACATCAAACATCGCGCATGCATGAACATAAGTTGGCTGTGCGACGAGGTAAAGCATTATCACAAGTAGCCGCTTACGCCTACGAAGGAGTTATGAGTCTAACTTCGCAGCCACCAAAATAGTTGCCCACACCGGAAACACAACAGGCCGAGAATCGATTGAGGCCTGGGAACCGGATGAGGACTCAGTCAATCGATTTATCGATCTGGCGTCGGCGTACAGAGCCCTACGCAGTCACCTTCAGTCTTGCGCCCTATAACTGTCGCTTGTTCTGTTGCTGCTATTATTTCTGACGATGAGCTCCTGCGCGAGTTTGAAAGTGCAGAACAATAATTAAATGTCCCGATGCTCGACCCCTCTTATTCTTCACTCATGCATACACCTAGAACTCGAACTTCCGTCGTCGCTTATGAACTTTCTCTTGCGAAATATGACCGAACGATGATTTCGTCCATGGCCATGTGGGTAAAATTAAACCAGTGAGTCCACTTCTAAAACTGGGCGCTAAAAATTGCAGACAAAATCCTAAAAATCGTCATTATTATGAATAAGTGGAGAATGTGAAACAGAACAGTTATGACTTTTTCATATAGGTCGAACTGTAGACATTATGGACGCTACATCAGACTTGAGGAGGCATGGAAAATGTTTTGATAAAGTACGAGTTGGGCCGCCTACTTCTGGATTTTCCAGTGGCTGCTCTATCCCTCTGCTGCGCGATTAACTGTCATTCCCTTCTTCCTGATCAACAAAGTAAACCTATTGTACCATGAACTACGTTTTTTCTGATGCCGCCGATCGCAAATCTTGCACGAAAATTATTCGATGGATACCTGATAGAGTCCGAGACTGGAATAGACTGATGCAATATTAACTTCTATTTCCTGCAGTATGTGGCTTCCACCATTAGCAAGTTGGACTGATTGACGCTCCTTCGCTTCCGTCCGCATGAGCATGTCGGCCCAACAGTCCAACTTTTTCTAAGCTTCAGTACTAAGATGAAATGCGTTTTGCTAAGTCTGTTAGCCAAACCTGGCTCGACATTATTGAATGCAGTTAGTTTGAGTGGGAAATCGGCGATGGCATGAGATGCGCATTGTCACTTTATTGTCCAAAACAGAAGACGTAAACCACATAGATTTCAAGGTGACTTTGCTGATAAAACCGGCTGTTACCATTACTGTTATGCGTTTTTATGCAATCATCATCACCATTATCGTCGTCCTCGCCATTACCATCATCACCATCGTCGTCATCATCATCCAAAAGGGACTGCAAGTTCTTAACGGAACGGTATATGACTACGAGGGTACTCTCACATTTATTGTCTTTGGAAATGAAATTCCTTACTACGATTAAGTCTTATTTCTATTTAGTTTCCAAGCAGAAACGACCTCCTTGGACCCGCGACAACTCTCCGCGTTCTCTTACGTAAGTACAATTAAGGGTTTGAAAAATCTTTCGTTTAAAAATAAAAACCTACTCATGTTCTGCCACCTTATCAATGCTTAATCGTGTTATTGGTCGCATGCGGCTTTCGCGGAAGTGGTTAACCTAACAGGAACTCTGACTGACCGGGATGAAAACGGGTAACTTTCGTTCCTCAGTGAATAGTTCTCAGGTCACACGACTAATGTTTATACGGTAACTTCGATGGAATGTGTATGGGTCTAGTTCACCAGGACACCCTGCACACTCGGAACTCCTCTCTCGAAAGAGCGGTTTGTAAAGTTAAAACCAGTGTCAGAACTTTCTAACTTACGGTTCCGAAAAAACCCTCGATTCAGCGGAAAGACTTATTAAAAAGCTGCAAGGTATTCGGTTCACAGATGACAAAATGATGTACTTTTCGACGTGATAACACTTTTAATCTCCATCCTACAACATCGCGCGGTTGAAACCATGCAAACCTTGCTTGGAGAACGATCGAATTGTACAACTCGATTTTTCTCCGAAGGACGTCTTCTTTTTTGATTATGTCGTCTCGGAATGTATACCGCCTCTACTCTACAACACATATATATGATGAAGACAGAAGGCTCGTCGGAATAAATCGAGTTGTACTCGTGAATTTTCGGGCTGGTGACACCAACCCGTCGTCAGACGAAATAAACAGAGGAGAAAGTGAAATACACACTACTTCAGTTTTTCAATATATACATATATCAAGCGAATAATTTCAGGAAGTATTCAGTGCAGGGCATGGAGTTAAGTCTCCGGTACATGAGTTTCTAGTGTCAGATCCGAAATTTCAATTAACATTCGAGTCGAAGTCGGTCAATTACTGTGGAATAACCATGTCCATTCTACAAATAGGTAATACTACAAGTAGTGTGAAATGTATATAGCGAACTTATTATACCGTACTCCCGACATAGGTACTAACTAAAAGCCCAGACAAGTGTTTCGCCGATATTTTGCCGCTACGTGACCCTAAAAAGTCATCTCCCGGAGACTTAACTCCGTGTCCTGCATTGAATAATTTCTAAAATTATTCGTTTGATTCTGCTCTGTAGTCCATGTGTCAGAAACCGCATAGGGGACGCCGGGAAACCCACCGAGGAGCCGAACACCTCGCAGCTGTGTCACGCTTGGGATCAAGTTTTAGGGTTAGGGTTTGCGTTTTGAGGTTACGGTTTTAGGGTTAGGGTTAGGTTTTATGGTTAAGGTTAGCTTTAGGTTTAAGGGTTAAGATTAGGGTTACGGTTTGGGGTTTGGGTTAGGATTTTTGGTTAGGTTTATGGCTTTAGGGTTAGGTTTTAGGGTTAAATTTTAGGGTCACTTTTAGGGTTAGGTTTAAGGATTAAGCTTAGTGTTTAGGGTTAACGTAAGGGTTAGAATTTAGGGATAAGGCCAGGCCTGGGGTTTAGGGTCAGGTTTAGGATTTTTGGGTTAGGTCTTAGGGTCAAGGTTAGGGTTGTGTTTTAGAGTTAGATTTTAGGGTTGTTGTTTTGGTTAGGGTTTTACGCTTACAGGTAGGGTTTTAGTATTAGGCTAGCTTCCCCATTCTGGGCTATGAACTGCGATCTGGCCCAGATTTATTTACATTTTTCACTTATTAAGTACAAATCCCGACTATTTTTGCAGGTCACATGGGATATAGATATTCTTTTACAGATAATCATTGGTATTCATATTTTTGTCACTAGCAAATAGTAGAATTTGTTTCTTAGTATCTTCCAAAGGTAAAGCCCTTCACTAACTTAATTCGCAGAAGACGCGAATTCTTTATTCGTTGTCCGGTACTGCACTGCATTCAAAGTAGGCGTGAGGTCATTACGACTGCGGCTGGAATTTTGTAAGATCAGTATGCCCTCACTATCGCTGCATATTACCCTGTTTTCTGATAGAAACCCCGAAATGTTGTGCTATACAATTGGCTCCACCGAATTTCTGACCGTGATTGGTTCAAGAAGCATGTTTTCAATAAAAGCAGGAGCAAACCGACAAAATATATAAATCTATGAGATAATTCATTTAAACTAACAGTTAGGTGGCCCATTTGTGGCCTCCTTAAAGTGCAACTTTCCGTTATCGTGATGGCACGTTTCAGCGCTTCGTCAAGTCCTGAATATCAGAAAACCTGTTAACCGGGACTACGCAAATAACGCACTTTCAAATAATACACTCTCCTTCGGAGCTCCGTATTCAGCAAGATGTTTTAACATTTTAGAAGTGTTCCGATTCGTCGTCGGATGAAGACGAACCTGAAGGTTAGTTAAATTTTCTTAAAAGAAGATAATATGTAGAGTTATGTTGCGGTACTAAAATCGCTTATGGTATGCAGCATCAAACAATTAAAACGGTTCTTCTAACTCATTCGCTACCATCATTAGCCGGTCTCGACATGATTCCGAATTTTGGTCAAACTAAGTCATAAATCAAATAAACTTGCCGGTAGGTATTTTTTTCTTGGAAAATGCACATGGTGGATAGTACTAGGCCGCATCAGTAAGACAAGAAGGCTTCTTTAACCTCGAAGTGCAGAGACTGCATGCGTAGTTTCCGGTTGACGGAACTACCACGACTGCCGTTTCATTCGATTGCGACGGATCTGTCCTTAGGCAACCTGTTTGAAAGGGCTGCAATAAATGAGAAAGAATGAAATCCAATTTGGACTAATATCTGTATGATGGCAGTTGAAACGAAGTGGTACTGAGTGCTGCTGATCATCATTTAGTAGCGTAAGTTCAGTGATGAATTTAAGGTCTGCCCCCACAATTCCACATAAAAGACACCTAAGGCAATGCTTGTCTACTACTTTTTTTCTCCCAGCAGCTGAAAAATGTCTCGATGTGTAAAGCGCCAAACACCATCATAGAACGAAAACGCACCATAGGGAGTCCTAGTGTAAGCTGTGAGCGAACTTGGAACGTCTACGCTCATGTCTATTAATTTTGTAGCGAGACATCGGATGATCACAAAAGCTCTCTTCATTTAATATCACAGGCTTCGTCTCTGCTGAAGTTAAAGATCTCCAAAAACTTATCTTAGCGAATCTTGTACGGGGAAGAACTAGGTGGAAGTAAAAGCAAAAAGTATTATGGAGTCGAGAAGCTCACCCGAAACGCGGAAAATTTTTTTCGTCAGCGGAGAAACATATTCTATGCAGTGAGAAGTAAAGTGTAAACAGCTGTCGTGGGTTTCACGGGTAAAGTAGATGGAATCGTTATTGTCATGTACAGGTTTTCTCCTAACTACTCAAAACAAGCCAGATGTGACTGAGGAACACTGAAGTCTGAAAAAGTGGCTGTTTTGGAGATTATGCATGCTCTCTTTAGTCCGCCTATCCCTAACCCACATTTTCGACTGAAAACAAGCTGTTGCGCTTGAACATACGGCTTACATGGTCTACAAGTGTGGTCAGATCAGTGGGTGAACAAAACCGCCAGGGGTTTTATTAATCGTCGGTCACCCTCTGAAATCATTTGTTTGATCGCTTTTTGAACAAGTGGATGGACTCCTCTGTGCAGCCTCTATCACCGGAGGATAAAGGCGGTTTGCTGAGATGTCCACTAGACTGATGAGCATCCTTTTCAGTATGAGTATGTGAAACTGTGTGTGGCCTACAATTGGTATTATCTGGGGCGTGCCAGAGACCATACCTTTGTGACTTCTGTGTTTATCGACTGCAACAGGTCGGACGTAAGGAAGATGTGCGGAAATATTTGTGATTAGAGCACCTATAATCTGGAAAGTGTTCATTTGCCTTCATTCTGAGTTTGGATGCACCGTGTTTATATTAGGTCTTCTTATCCAATTTAGTCCCCGAAAAACCTTCAGTTAAAAGAGTTGATACAATCAGCCTGTCAGCCATTGAAGCCAATGACACCCAAAGCAGGTCAGTTCCGTGTTATTTTGTTTAATAAATGTTTGATGCGTATCTGCTGGCACAGACAGTACTTGTTTAGGGTCTAAAACTTTGGCATTCAGTCAGTAGCCGGCTTGCTTCGTAGATCTCTCCCTTCATTAAAATGAAATTAACCTGTCTTCAGTAATTATTTTTTCCCTAAATGGTATCAGAATTTTCTGTTCAGACAAGTCAACCGGTAGTTGAACTATCAAAAAGCCTAACCCTAACGATGGTTAATACACTATATGTACTTAGCGATATATAATAACGAAAGGAACGCAGGTAAGGAATTCCACAAGGAAGGCTAGTGCTAAGGTAATTTCACTCAAGAATCGTAAAATCGACCATAAAGTTAGGAAGTATACATCACGAAAATACTGTCTTTTTCTAATTTCTTCGTCTTGGCAATTCCAACTGTCAAGTTGTCCTTTCGACTCAGATTTACCACACGGGTGCGCTGGGGATAAACTTAGAATGTCTTCACGGGTAGAACACTTCACCAACAACTTGGGGACATTCTATTTTTTCAAACATCGTCAGTGTACATCTAATCTGTTTACTGGCTCCTGTGCAAAAGACATAGCAGGTCAAACGCTAGGGTACTTTTTAAATGGACGAATGAGCATTGCCAAGACTACTCTTAGTCTAGACACAGTCAGTTCTGTGTCCAGACCCTCCCCAGCTGAATCTATTGGGTACTAGCCAACAAATCAACGCCGGAGAGGTTTTCCTTCCACTTTACAGGGTTCCACCGAAATTAACTAACATGCTAAGTGAGCGGATATGCTTGAAACGGTAGGGACAGTAGATATCTGTCTGGACAATTCTATCTTCTGACTTTTGTAACATTATTAAAAGTACTTTAAGTGGTGCACAGCATGACCGCCTACTATATGCCAGAATCGACCTGGTAGACAGCGCGGCATCACAAGCGATTACTCAGGTTCCCCCCACACCTGTCCTTCCCAATGTGCGGACATCGACTCCCTCCTCTTGCTATCATGCTATCCGCAATAAAAAGAATATCACTTCTCTTTTTACACCAATTGCTAGGCGTCGTTAGCGAAATCGACCAGATGTGGCTCGAACTTGGGTAATCTGGTCGATCAGAAAACCGTCCATACACTGAGCTTCCTGCTTTCCCGCGACAGCTGGGTATCCGGAGAGATTCTTTTACAAAATAATGCATGTAGAATTTTTAAGGGACTTATTGTCTTTGCTGGAACGTGTTTTTGCCTATACTGATTTATCTAAATGTTTGCAGGCTTTTGCAGAACTGAGAAGATAACGTGCTCATTTTTATGATGAGCGGAACTTACATAACCCTTTTGCATTGAAAATGATGCTATTAATTGGGTAATTATAAGTCTATCAGTCATCTTTTTATGAAAACATGTATAGGTTCGACTTACTCACAAGCTTTTGATTACATACATTGAGACATCAACTGTTGTACGTGCGTGCCACCATTAATTTATGACGGTTTGGGATGGCCGATCACCGATCGCTTTAAAATAAAGCGAACTCTACAGATATATTTTTGAGAGGCACAATGCAGGTATTTTAGTGTTTGTATGAGAAGCCTTTCACAAGCGGTTGCATTCTCCTTAGTTGGACGCTTCCGTGGAAGAATTATTTGATTCTGGATTTACTTGGCGTTTTAGTAGCACAAACCGCACAACCCCGCGGAACAGCAGGCGCGGCCCAGAATCCTTAGTAAGCCGTGTGGTAAGAAACTTCTGCATACATATATCATCTTTGCTAGCTAAAGAAAGTCTTCTTTATGAAAAGTGGAAGGAAGGAACCACTGCTGTTTCCATAGTTAGCTCGCATGATAATCGAATTTCAATCTAATGAGCTGTCTTCGTTACCATCTTTCGCGTTGGCTTTCATGACAGCTTGTCTGCTTACAGCCCAGCAGATTTTATGCGTCGGCGAACTTATTTCCTATTTTTCACAATTCGGTTAAAACTTTTGCGCCACTTTCTCCCGTTAGAAAAATGAAGTCTGAACCAACATGGTTTTACTAATTGCGTTCACGTGTTTCGTACATAAGCCTTAATCAAGATAGGCCGTTGTAGATTGTTATTCCTCTCATAATTTAATACCCTAGAATCTTGTTAGCCTTTAGGATTGTATAACGGTATGATCTGAAGGACAACAAATAACTTCATCACAGAAAGCACGACCGCGAGGTAGAAAGGTGCAAAATGAGCTAATTACTAGTGTTAGTAGGTTGGTCAAATGCACCGCGATGACAACAAATGCACAGAATCCTAATGTGGCCTGCAAACCTCTGTTGTGAGAATAGCTCGACCCTCAGGCCCTTGTCCCCTAAGCAAGTGGCAAGCTTCGCGAGGTTTTCACCATCTTGGCTGCGTTCACTCGACTGGTAAAGATGCAAATGTGATGTTTTCCTAACTCTCCGTTATCTGCCTTTTTCAATACACGGGGTCAAAGTAATCATCTTTGCAACCAAAGAGGGAAACAGAGTTTCCACCTGTACTTGTTTGAGCTGACTGACTTATTTCAACTTCCATGGAAGTTCACCTACAGAGTCTTAGAAGCTGAGGCGCCGACGGTTAAACATGCAGAATTTGATGGCGTCATGAGTCAGGCAATCCTACGTTTAATTGCAGGCGGTCATTGTCCCTTAATGAACTATCTAGAACAAACAGATGTAATAGATACACAAACCGCTCATTTTGCTCGCGTTCGCCAAACCTGTGTTACGACCGCTTTGTTTAAGTTATAACCGCATCGGTTGAGAACTTAATCTGACCAAAATAAAATGTCATTAATCCAACCAATGGACAAACTCCAGCTGTTTGTTTATTTTGAGAAGGGAATGTCGCACTGGCACTCTCTTCTAACCCTTAAAAAGATTTATCTACTCTCGAAGATTCTGTTCCGTCTTTTCCACTCGTCAGACATGTTCTGTTCTTCCATTTTTTTCAGTCTGGTCAGGGCGCAGCCGTTACTGGTAAGTATTCCTCCCCCTTAAGCCTTCAACTTGATCACTGGCGCAACTCTCAACAATCGTAGAATTTTGGCATGGTATTTGGCTTATCGCGATTTACTGATATACGCATGCCAGCATAAATCCTGAAAAGACATTCTTACTAGACAACCGTATAGTATAAATTAGGCCGGAACGAACTTATTGTGAACTATTGCAACAGGGCGCTCACCTATGACCAACCATCAGCTTAAATATTCAATCATTTTTTCGGAATTCACACCTGGGGTAGCAAGAGAGAGCCAGGGAATGTGTTTTGTTCTGGGGTACTCAGTTAGTTTGGCAAAGACAATCAGTGCGTTATGAGCAGGCAAATCTCAACTTAAGCTCCAAACAGACAAAAACTGCAAATTAAGTTTGAACTTTCGGGCAAACAGGGCAGACCCTAATCCTATCATTCAAGATGTCGGGTTATAGAAAAAACCGTGCAGGTTAATAAAATTAAGGAACCCCACTAGACCGAAAACTGAGGAAGAAACTTTGTTGCAGATAGATCAAAATGGAATAGAAAGATAATAGAAAAAATCATTTTATGACCAAATTAAAGGTCAAGGTTATACGAAAAGGCGGTTTTGAAAGTAGGATCTGAGAGCTGTTTATGAGACGAACGGTTTTTGCGTTACGGAGGATAAATGACGGTTTGTACTCCGGTAACCTCAGAAATAAGTCATTGCCTCCAATGCCCAGATTAAGTTAAAAATTGGAGGACATATGGGACAGAATACACCTGCAGGGTACTCATCTACATTCTTTTTTAAAAAACGTTTCAATATTCAGCTCTAAGAATTGTTCAATTCTACCAAATATACAGAACACGTTCTGGGATTAAACAGTTTTCGCAAGAAAAACAAGTGATACGCGTTTGCTCCCAAGTTGGTTAGTTTTGCAGTAAGAAAGAGGGTATGGGATCATCGACGATGCTACTATCGTTTCTTTTCGTTAAACTATCTACACGCCATGTTGCGTACAAATAACCTTGCATCTGATACTACCAACATTTCCGCGCATATTTTTTTCACCCTGACTGATTATACGCGGTGTAATTCATGGCGCGTCAGCATGCGTTACCCTGCTTGACAGGTCCTGAGGAAGGGAATCGTATGAAATCGAAATCGGTACAAAAACGCGTCCTCACGGTACTCTTTTGTTTCTTGGTTATAAATTGTCCGGCTTGTGCAGGATTTGTTAACGCGCGCCTTCACGTACGGCTCATTTGTCTATCAGTCAGGGGAGCGTTCATCAGATCGGTTTCTACGTAAATATACTAAAACTGGAAAAATTCCCTACTTAACCGTCACCTCACTCCTTTACGACGCGCTGACTTGAGTTATCAGTGTCTTCAGTGCTTGATTAACACGATAACTCGACCATTATAAGTGACGAGACCAGTGCTGTCTTAAGGAGACTGTGATGTTGAATTACCATGTGCGCTCGTTCTCAGTGGAAAAGACTTGACTCGATCTACCACACCCTCCTCACACCACCCACCTTCAAGCCGATCGCGGCAGGTGTGGGAGAATAGAATGACAAAGTTAGACAGTTCATCGCTGTGTGACGCACACGACCTTGACACTAACTACGCATGTGCCAGTCTTCATTCGGCGAGGAGGTCTTGGATCTCGCACTAGTGAGAAAGCCAAAATGGCCTTATTAAGGAGTCATGGCAACCTGACCCTTACTTCTGAATTGGCAACCTGTCTAGCTATAATAGGAGGGCGTCTGGGTAGGCTCAAGGGCATCAGATTGATTTGCCGTGATGAATAATACCCAAGTACTGGTCACACTCTTTCTTCGCCTTCCTAAAGGATCTGTCCGATTCAAGCTGAATGGGAATGCTGTTGGGCGCAGGGCCAAATACTCCACCTGCGCCAGACTACACCAGATGACACGCTTCGCGCGTAAGTAAGATGTTCGTATTCTCGCATGAGGGTTGTTGCAGGAAGGCCTGGGCTGTACTAGTTTGCCATGGGTTTTCACGAATGCGCCATTGACCGACTGGGTTCATACAGTGTCTGGTAGTCCTTGGACAGTGTTTAGAAGCAAGGCGTGCTGGATGGGTACATAATACAACCCTGGAAATTCACGCCTCTAACTCTACTGTTTCACGACTTTGCACATTTTCTTCCTTGGAATCTAATAGCTAAAAATCGCAAAGCATTCCGTGACTCATAGAAAATGCACTCACGAAATTTCAGCGTCTCAGAGAAGAGGCGACCTAGCACAAGATGGCGGATAGTAGGCGTACATGTACTTACAGTAAGCATCCTATAAATACTGCAACTTCCTGCACGTGAATTACCCGTATCTGATACTGCCTCTGATGATAGGTCCGAGCGTAAGTGCGAAAAGTCATACCATACAACCTCATTTTTCAGCGATCGCTTCCACTTCGTATCCCTGTACACTCTCGGTTTCATGGCGAAAAATGTCGCGATATTCCAGAAGAGTGTAGCCTGCCGAAGACATTACTGGCTTTGCAGATCTGATTTGCGATTTAGCCATTGACGTCGGTATCTTAAGAAGTCGTGCTTCCCAAGCATGCGTATTTGTTCAGTAATGTGAAGCGAGTTCCGATAAACGTTGTCATGGATTACTTGTTATCATCATCATATCTCGACATTTTTCTTGCGACTGTCAAGTGTTTCCAGAATCTGCATTGTGTTTCTGGAGGAAGTCTTTGCTCCGTCGTTGTGTTCAGGCGACTGATTAGCATGCGGATAAATATCTCGTCTTCAGTGATGCGTAGAGAGTCCGTAGCGGCTTCTGCAGATTAAAGTCTGTGTTAGTGAACAATATCTGTATTTTTGAAATCACCTGGGATTTGTACTAGTCACAACGCCTCTTGAAATAACAAGATAAGTTCGCCCATGAGATGAGAGTCATCGTATGCCGGCTGCAATTGAACCGGCATCAGATGCTTTTTTGTTAGATACCTGTTTCCCGTTCCAAATGTCTTTCGTGGCTAGGGGCATGGTCGAGGTGGCTATTGGTGTCCGCTTGGAAAATTCACTCGGTGGCTTCCTTGCAGATTTTGGATAGGTTTGAGAGAACACTCTTGGGGTGATAAGCCCAAACTCCTGGATTTGCGACTTTCGCAACAGCAGAGTTGCACCGTCTGAGCCGTGCAGTGATACGGTCTCCTTAACTCTGGGGTCCGCAGATTGTTTTGATGGCCGCAAATGAGTTCTCCATCTCGATGTGCTGGGGCCTTGCAAAATATTCAGCCATCTTGCACTCCATTGGTCATCATTGAAGCAGGGTTCGGCACCAGATGGATGCGCCTGCGTCGACGTCACCACACCTGTATCGCAATTTATCACGCGTGGTGTTTTTCCGCAGAACAGTCGTCGGATCTTTTCATCGTCGCTGTTCAACCAATCCTATTGTCGCCGACATTCGCGACCGAGAACTTCAAGATCGCTGACATGGACAACATCCTGTAGTCCCCTCTACTGGATCTCAACAACAGCACTTTCCTCTGCGGTTTACGTCTGTTCTCACTTGAGATTCATATGATTGCTGAAATGCACTCGACCTTCAGTCCTATCCGATATTACATTACTTAACTTACTTGATGGTGTCTAACCGTGTGACCGAGCGGTGGCCCGATGGGCATTCACCACTACTCATCGCCTTGGTCACTAACACATGGCTTTGGTCACGCTTCCTGACGAGCACGTAGACCAGCAGTTGTTAATGACGCGAGCTAGGGTGGATTCACTTTGTCTTTTGCTAGATCACGAAGGCAAAAGAATGTGTTGGTGAGAAAAATATGGTGTTCTGTACAGGTCATCAAGAGAAGAATGCCGTTGTTGTTACAACAACCGATACCGTAGCGATCAACACTCCCTGCAGACAGCGTCCCCCATACCGACAGCATAGCAAGGAGGGCGTGCAGGTCGTCGCAGAATTTGTCCCTTACTTCGTCGGAGCTAGTTGCTGGAGGGTCGTAGCGCCGATGCTGGTGGCCAATCTTCCACTGCGAAGTGGCAGCCTCGTGGTCACGGAACAATTATAATCTCCACACATGATGCAGGATGGCCGTCTCAATACCTGACGGTGAAGTGGGATCCAGCGTCCCATCTCTCAGTCCGTTTTACGTCCGCTCCAGAAGAGGGAGTATTACGCACATGCTTTCCTCAGTTGTCCCTGCTCGCAGAAATGGGTCTCAACAAGAAGCGCAATGTCTGCATTTTTAAAAAACCAGTCCCTGGGGAACCCGAGTCGTCGTCATTTCCGGCGTCTGGGCCAATTCGTTAAGTAAAAGAGAAGAAAAACTTCAGGCTGCTGGTTTGAGCGTTGTCACTCTGGCAGACTGCAAGGGAGACAGAGGGTGGGTACAAGGGTGATTTATAAACTTACTTTACTGAATTTAATCCCTTTGCCAGAAAAACACCCTACAGCGATCTCCGGTAAACATGGGGGTTTACTGTGTGGACGAAGTGAATTTTCTACCTACTTACCAAAGGTCGACAGGTACCATCCGTGCAGCCAAAAAGTGATAGGCTATTTGTTTTCTGAGAAAATTGCATAAAGGCCTCAAATAAGCAAAAGAGTCTTATTAGCACTGTGTATCTGATGTGCTTAGCAAGTACACCTACAGTGCAATTTTTATGCATAAATCTACGTTTCGCAACGCCATAACCAAGCCCTCTTTTGGAATTTCTGTTTTCAGCTGTTCCGCCCAGAATTGGTGCAAATGGCGCATTCCAAAAGACTTTTGTCAACCAAAACTTCCTCAACGCAGTGCGACACCGCCGAAAAACGTATGTTTGTGAAAAATGCAACTGTCCTATGCCAAAAAGGGTAGCATTTTGCCAAACCGCCGATGAGAAGCAGGGATCGGTTTTGACAGTACAGAATTCCAAACTCCCTCGAACGATTAGGGCAGTTAGACACAGGAGCTTAATTTAAGCTACATATACCACTTGAGCTCTAAGCCCAACAGGTTAGAATGACCATTCTCAATGATTGAAAAGACAGAAAGTTCGTTCTAGACATTACCATTTCGATTGATTTCTTTGAAAACTAAAGTCTTTCCCACTGAATTCAGGGTGGACGTTTGAACATGCAGAGAATATACTAATGACTGCATAGTCGAAGTCCTCTCTTTAATGGGAGAACTTGTTTTTGGCTATATCTCCATGCATGCTATGCTATGCTGCAAAGTGCCACTCCTAGCCTACATACGCTTTATTGTGCGTTCACACTCAACTCGGAGGTAGACAGAAATGTAATGGTGCAGAAATCACAGTCGAGAGTTTGTCTTTTTAAGAAGGAAACTAAATACTTAGTTATTGGTGAACCGCGGCCCTTAGCATGCTTCGGGGAAACAAAGTAGAATAGTTTTCTGTCCTGTCAGGGCCGGAGCTGAGCACTTTAGAATTCGGAAATCAAACTTGGCATGAGAAATCTCCTTAATCAGACACACTTGGACAAGAGGATCCTATCAGAAAATGCCTGGACCCGGACTGAATTTCTCCAGTGTAGCTTTCTCGTTCATATAGGTCTTGCATTGGCTTTACTTGCTCTTCGGCAGCTAGTTAAAATGTAGGAAATTATGACAACTCAGAATACACTCTACCCAAATTTTATGTGAAAAACAGAAACATGCATACACAGTGCGTGACCTATCTCATGAAATGTTGGCTGAAATTCTGAAATGCGTTTTCGATTAGGAAGGATTACTTGATCGCGGTTGTGATATTGATTATCATAAGGCATACTCTTATAGCATTTTAGACTCGGCAGGATGTCGGCTTTTAAATGCACTTCTTTTCAATCTCCTGTAGAAAGCGTACTCGGTACAAAATGACTACTTAAGTAGCATGCATTTTTCCCATTGATTTTCGATGGTCTTGGAAATTCAAATATATTTTATAGAAACCACAAACAAAAATATGCTTTCTTTTAGTCAATCAATAGAGAATCACGTCTTCTTTATATTTTATACTTAAGAAAGTAGTATAATTAGGTTTTAAAAAAAGTTTCTAATTATGAGACTTTTAAGACCGCGATATGTCCATTCACATAGCATCGTACCTGGCCGTTTACCACTGCTCCTCATGAAATGTACAACATGGTCCTCATCCATTGCAAAATTTTATGGACACTGTTTAATATCTCTTTAATGATATAGAAAAATATGAGATTTTCTTTCCGCGGAACGCATGCACCTTGTAGAGTGTAATTACTAAGCGCTAATGCAACGAATGATCAGGCTCCAAATTTGTCGGCGACTGCCTGCGAGGGTTTAAGTATGAGCCCCAAGGCACAACGGAACGAGCATGCTCCGTAACCTGATCGGTGAGCGCCCACTATCATAATGAATATTCCCGATCACAACCGACAGGACAACGGGCCCGTGGCTCAATGGTAGAGCGTTCAACTCCATGACCAAAGATCCCGGGTTCGAATCTCAAGTGATCCACACTTGGGGTTGGGTATGACTGGCTGATGACGGCTAATAAGCCAGAAATGGCCATTCCGGTCTCCCTTGTCTTTGTCGTATTACCTTTCCAACATATATCACTAGTCGCTGTGCGACTGCCTGCGAGGGTTTAAGTATGAGCCCCAAGGCACAACGGAACGAGCATGCTCCGTAACCTGATCGGTGAGCGCCCACTATCATAATATATATATATATATATATATATATATATATAAAGTGCTTATGACCCATCTGGTAGACCCCAGTGGTGGACCAACTGCGCCAGGTGCGTCTGTGCGCATTTTTGTGTTTCTGGTCCCAGCTGCTGGTGGTCATGGCATTTAAAGGCAGGCATACCAAGAAATATGATTTAAAAACAAACACGTTCTTTGGGAAAAATAGAGAAATTGTATTGGGTAATTTTTTGATGCTGGTTCCCCAGGTCTTCGTCAGACTTGTGTGAACGTGCAAAAAAACAATAAACATTACAAACCTGCCAGAAATCAATATTCATTCGGTGTTAACGCCAGTTAGCTGCCGCCATGCGCATCATTCTCTATTAATTGGCTCTGGTCCCTTACACTTTTCCCTGAGGTGTTTGTACGTGGCATCTAACTCAATGTACCGATTGATGCATGTTTTTGACTTAAAATTGAGGTCGGGGATTCTGACCTCTTAAAAATTCCTGCCTTCCGGATTGCTTCCGATGACCAATTACCTTCATGAGATAGAATTTTATTCCAGAACGATTCAATCCGTACCTAGGTAGTTCCAATGACAATCGTCCTGTCTAAACGTGTCTGATTATAGAGACTTCTAATGCGAAGTTTAGGTTCTGAATGCCAAACTGCTCACCCCTAGTCTCGGCATGACAAAACCACTGTCGTTGGCACGTCACATAGTCCTTCCAGTAGCCCGCGCCCTTCTGGTTTACTGACGGATGGCTTAACAGACTTGTTGGTCGAAATTGAGCTCAGCACTGAGCACCTGACCTTCGACAGTTGAGCCAATTAACAGTCACGTCAACCCCACCCGCGGAGAGTTGCTTTTCAAACAGTCTACGATTTTTGACAGGGAAGTTGCCGTTAAAAAAGAAAATCAGGGCCTGGGTGTCCTCCGACGGCTCCATCAACCGCAGCGCAAATCTGCCTTCCTTCTGCCTGGTTATACGAACCTACTCGACAGGAGACAGTTAAGGCGTGAAACAATCGGGGCCGCCAATTATTGCTACATTCGACGAGTACGGGGACGCTACAGGTCACGTGAAGCGGGGGTTCGATTTCGCCGCAAAGCCAGCTTTGGCGATCTACGCATCGGGCAAGATGCGTCATAACATGAGTCACTGAAGATGAGCGGTCGAAATCACTACATGAAATCAAACCCTTCCCAGTGACCAACTCTTCTTTTGGCACATAACGAACCCCACGTTTCGCGTGAAGGTCCATTTTAGCTTCCCATGCTTCCTAAGGCAGTAACTTGAGTAGCTACCCTGCTAAAAATGTGTTCTAGGCGTCCCCTTCTATGACGCCTTTTTTCAGTCGATCAAACTTTAGTAAAGAGTGGAAAAGTCGACAGCTATTCTGGAATATTTGCTACATTTATTGGGAATGCGGGCTGCAAGATGAGCCCGCCTGCCGGATGAATTGGAATGTCAAAATAATACGTTTTACACTCAAACGAGCGTGGCATCATAGCACTCCGACCATGCCCCCTCATTCGGCTTATCAGAAAGTATTCGAGCATTTCAGGCAATTCGGAGTGACTGGATCCAATTCATTATTCATAGCTAGGCACAATTTCGTTCATCCTGGAAGAACGAGGGCTTGCGAGCAATCCTCTGACTTTTCGTCAAGAAAATAATTAACCTGTATTTATCTGCCTACCGAGAAAATTCTCCCTGGAAACATTCTTTAAATCCTTAACCTTTAACTTTGTCTGTACTGTTGTAAAATCACTGTGAAATAATCGTCTCCTAGGCCACTGAACAGGATCTTAGCATTGAAGGACTGCCTTCTCCACCATTGCTTAACAACCTGAAGCCCAGATTAATGAAGCCCCAAACAGTATCGTGCTGAGGCAGTTTAGCCCGTATTTCAGTTCTGAGGCAACCCTTTGACCAATTTGTTTGTGTGCAAGCTCTCAGTTGAAATGTTACGCCATTTTAAAAATATGGTTTTCTCAAAAATGCTAGTAAAGTCCTTTCAAAAATGTTATATGGAGGCTGCAAATAATACCGATATTTTGATGACACCACCTGATTTCTCGAAAGCAGATTTTTCAGACGCTCTTCGTATTGCAGGGTCGCTTACGCAATCTTCTAGTTTTTTTGTTAAATGAATCACATTAAATATATCAGTTAACCTGATACGTGGTCACAAGGACTGACGAGCAGAGGTAGTTTGACGGCGCACGCAAAAAGCCACTGACAGCTAGTCGGTTGTTCCCCACGCAAATGGTTGTTGCGCAAAATTCGATTATTTTAGCACAATCTAGTTGGCGAGATTTCGGTCAGCAGTTTCCGTCAAGTTACTTTGTCTCGCAGCTAGAAGTGACTGGACGTAAACTCCCTATATCTCAAAATATGCAGCACAATGGCTTTAAACGCGACCAGAAGTGAAACTGACCGAGGCATCCTGATCGCGCACAGTTAAGCAAACTTCTGAGGTTTCATGCATGCAAATTTGAAAGCTTCGATCAACAGGCTCGGAAAAGTTGAGTCCGGGTGAAAAAAAGACATTCTCATTCAGGTATTTTTAATTTCCTTGGGCTTCCAAGGCAGAAAGATGCATGTTGTCAGATGGTGTGTTGACATCGTGCTTTACAGAATCTGATGCTCATCAGGGTTGCGCTTGCTAATCGGGAATAAGAGAGTAGGACAAGACGAAGAAGCTATTGGAGCTCCCTAATCCGACAACGGCATGGAACAGGACCACACTTTACTGTGGATCGTGTCATGGGTGATTGGCGATAAGAAACGTTTTACGGGTGGGGCAGCGCACTAGACATGAAGCTGACGACATGCAGGAAAACGCAGAATTTGCTTGGATTTCTCCCGAAAGCCTCATCGTACGCTTCCGTACGACAACGGAAATGGGTGCGGTACTTAAAAATAAACAAAGAAATTTCAAACAATAAAGGAGTTTGAATGTTGGTTTGAAGTCATGGGAAGTGACTGTTAATGGCAGTGTAATTTCTGCAAAGGCCTACGAATGGATGCCAAAATAGCAGCCCCTATGACGCGATCCACAGTCTGTCCTTTTCCATACCGTTGCCCTCAAATCCTCTCAGTATGCTCTTAAATGCGTTTTTGTAACTCGCATTTTGTGCTTACGTGATCACGCGTGAACAGATCAAGAGCTGTCCAACTGTGTCGATGCTAACTGACCCCATGGATAGTTGAAAACCAGAAAAACATGCTTCACGGTTTGGCTTAATAGTCTACCTCAAAAACCGCGTCAACGAATCGTCGCAGGAAGTTGCCTGCTGCCTGTTAGGCGCCACGCGGACACCTCGGTCAGTGGGACCGTGAAAAGGAGCCGTGACACCGATGCAGGCCTGAGGACGTCTTTGTTAAGATGAAACCTTGCCTCCCAGACAGCCATCGATAGATAGCCCCCGACCATTGGCTGACCAGTAAGGCCATTAACACTGTCAAATGCTGAGGGGTAGCATACCGTCACATCGTCCAACTTTGGAAGCCGTTCTTTCCGTAAAATACAAAAAGAATAAATATACGCTTCCTGTTATGTCCCATTTTAATCAACATCTGTAGACAGTGTTTACTTTGATAAATAATAAAATCCATACTTACAAGAGAACTGCATCGCTTAGCCGCACCCCTACCTGAGGGGAAGTAATTTGCTCATTGTTAGGGGTCAGTCACTCAACCGCGTGCACTTACTACTATCCACTGAATTTTGACCTATCGCGAGGGCTTTTCGACGTATGGTTTTAATCGCAAGCAAGTTCCCTCATCCGAGAAAATTTATCACCATGCCATGGCGAATTTTTAAGCAGCTGCTGTTGTGGTGGCCTTGTGTCCGTCCTCCATCAAAGGCACTACCGTTAAAGGGGGATGCCGAAGACCACCGTTGTGGCAGTAGGGTAGTCGCGTAGGTCGTTTTATCTTGATTTCAGAGCGGGATTTATGCAATTCACTTTGACCTTGGAACGCCAAGTTAGAACCCTCCCAGATGGTGACCTAGCAATGAACAACTAGTAAACTGGAATACCACAGACTAGACGAGGGAGACTACAGTGGCTATTTGTGACTTCTTTTTTGTTGCTGACCAGCTATCCTCCAATGCGACCAGGGACGGTCGCAGACAGTCGGTTCGTTGGATATTAAGGCCAAACGCTGCGCCGATGAGCTACGGGCCTTCTCAACTTGAGGCTGAGGTGTGACTAATTATTGATAGCAAATAAACCTAACAATAACCCACTCAAGTCTACCGTGCTTTGTCGGTAACGCATCTTGATATTTCATGTAGACGTGTCATCTGCCAGCCCCACCCCATGAGAAATACAACCGAGTTACCAAGCTGCCAACAAGAAAGTTGTCGTGCACTGGCTCCAGCCTTCTCTTTCCTCAGCATGGACGATTGGTCCATATCATAGCACATGATTCCAGACTATATAGACCGAGAACATAGAGGCCTTTTATTTGCACTCGAAGCGTCCCAAGGGTAGGTTAACGCTTTCTCAAAGTCCCATCAACTGGTTTCCAATACCTGCTTTAGTAAGAATACCAGAAAGAAAAGTCTGGTCTACTTTTTAGTTTCTCGCAAAGCTGTCTTTATTTGTATCAGCAGCAGCATCAAGCCACTTCCTGACACCTCTAACCTCATCAGTCCATTGTAAGGAAGGGTCTTGTGGCTGCGACTGAAACATCAGACATAGATGGTCAAACCTGTGACGCTCCAAAGCTCTTACCTCTGTCCACCCCACTGCTGACATGTGGGGGTTTACTCTCGCAACTAGGGTGCCCTATGCTTCATTGGTCTCAGAAGAAGAAGAAGCCCATTTCCTTTTCACTCATCACATCTGAATTTTTACACTCGCTTTAGTGAGCAGTGCAACTGCATGCGAAATGAGCCTTTTGACCTTCCTGTTTAATGTTTTAGGGCTGCAGTTGTCATACGCAAATTCGTCGGCCAGAGCGCTACGGAGTTAACTGTCGATGTTGGGGATCTCGTCGAGGTGAGCTCTTGTTTATTGGTGCCTGTCAGAATCTGCACTTGTGTGTTTTGAAGTTCGCTCATCCACTAATTTGAGTGCGTAATTTATGACCTTAGGCCTGGTCTTGACACGGTTGCGCAAGTAAACAAGTTGGGGTAAACAACCTGGTACGAAGGACTTGTGGTTGTTATCCGACGAGTCATGACGCTATTGTCTCCCAAAGTTCCTGCCCAAATCGCACTGAATTAATCCACTATTTTAGTTTTATTTGAAAAAGGATTTCTAGCGATCCTGGATGGAATGCGAACTTTGGAATGACCTGCATTCGTTTTCCTTTATCGAAAAAGGTTTTTTGACCAGTCGGTGGAAGCGGTCTCAGCTTCCGCACTGTGGGAGCTATTAATTGACTCGAGCTGTAATGTGGTGCTATTTCTTCCAAAATTTACATTTTCGATGTTGAGTTAAGTCGGTTTGCGTTATAGGGCCCACAAAAGGGTATTTAATCCGATAGTTTGAACGCCGTACAGATGTCTCAAACCCACTGCACTCAGGGATATTTTGGTTTTCTCACATTTTCTGGTCACTTTCCTCAAATTACTTGTCTAAATGGATGCAGAATTTGAGAATCGGCTTCACAGCCAGACATTTAAGGCTGATTTCATCATTTGTGTAAGATGATTTCAGTTGAGGAACGTTATGTGAAACTCCCTATGGAGTCCTGATCTACCTGTCTGGCGAGTTGTACTTAACTTGGACGCCGCGTGTTCCTGACAGCAAGACAGTCTGACCGACAGGACCAAGGAAGACCACAATGGTCATTTGTAGCATATTTTCCGTCTCGGTCAGACGCACTTCAAACCAGGAAGACCCAGAGCTGAAATTAGGGCTCTAATGTAATCGATAAGCGGTTTGAGTGCACTGCTGTTAAACTCCGAGCCCGTCTTCTGTCGGCGGGTACCAGGGTTACTTCAACTAACACGAGCCTGGCGTCCACCAGTGCAGCCCAGTTGCGTAACGGTGTTGGGAAATTCCATTTTACTTAAATTTCCATCCGTAATGGAGGCCGAGACTTCACATCATCAATCGTCCATAGTCCCCTTTTGTTGCTAGGGCTGAGGATGGCGCTTATGACCACGATCGAGTGAGGAATTATCACCTGGAGATATCTGGGTCCTACGTTCCGTCCTGGCAGCGATGTTGTCACCGCCACAGCACTCGCGTCCAGGACATGGTAGGTGGCCGCAGCGTCACATTCTGCGCCTAACTGTTAAGTTGCCCAAATGACCGGCAATTTCTGTCATCTAAAGGTTTTGGCAGCCACCGTCCAGCCTTTCACAACAAAAAACCGGCCAGCCCATCATGATGATATGCGGCCGCACAAGGGGGCCAAAAGTGTTTCACTTGTGTGCATGCCTTATGAGAAGCTCAACACCGAAGAGACGAAATGCAAGATGGAATGCTTAATTAGTAATTTTGTTTCAGAGCACAAATCACCGCCAAATATGGGCCTTTGCTGCTGGTAAGGGACGATCCACTGCCGTTATGGACGGGGGAAAATATAACTCGGAAGTCAAGGCTGCGTTCGAAGACAGGGACTTTTGCAGACCAGCACAGAACTCAGAAGTTAAAACTGTAGCAGGTCGATTTAAAAAATTACTCAGAAAATTCGGACACCAAAATTTGATTACGGAGAACAAACGACTCCAAATGCAATTAACGGACACTCTTTTGGCTCGATTTTATGATCTGCCAAAGATCCGCAAACCAAATGTCCCACTGTGGTCAAACGTTGCCTTAAAGAGAGAGCCCCAGCTAAAATTCGCAAAATGGATGTACGTAAAACTGAGGTTCCTCCAAGGCAATTCAACTACTTCAGTCTAATTCGCCTCCCAGTTCTTTATGAACGTCTGAAAGCGGGGGATTCAGTCGGACGTCGTTCACACTTCTCCCGCCGAGTTGGGCACAAGTTGTCTTCCGCAAGAAAATCGAGAATACATACGACGAAGCTCAGAACCTCCTCGGAACTGGGCGCTTCATGCGGCTGTTTAATTTTTGCCGAAATACCTACCTTACCTTTGCGAGCAAACGTCTGCGCCGTTCAAAGGTACTCCAAGGGGTTACCCAATCTCCGATTAAGTGGTAGATCTGGTCGCAGAATAGCAGGGGGAAACTGCCTTCATTCAACAGGAGCCGATCTTTTGGCGAGCTTACGCTGACAACGCAATTCTTATTATCGGAAAGAATATGCAGTAACATTTCCATAATCTATTTAACTTAATTTTCCCGGATAAACAGTCCACGAGGATTAACGAAACGGAAGGATGCAGCTTTCTATTTTTCACAGCTACTATCTGTTAACTCACTAACATAGTTAAATTATCATACTGTTCAAACGGATCCAGACTCATTGCAACAGCCCCAAAGGAAAGGCGCCTGAGGACGGATATCTTACGACCACTTTATGCGGAACGGCTATCCGAAGGCGTTCATATATTGTGTTTCACGGGATCGTCCCGGAGGACCCGTCGAGAAACAGCACTTATGGTATGATATGCTCTGCCATACATCAAGGACTTATCTCGGCTCCTTCTCTATGTGGCTCCTCTACTGCATGTTTGATCCGAGCCTGAGAATATCGCAGTTCTTCAAGCATTGTGGCTTGGGAGAGCGTCGACTGACGCCTCAATTCAGTCCACGCAATTTGCCCAGTTATGTGTGTTTGTGTGCAGTGGCGGACTGGTGGATTGAGTCGGACTGCGACAGCCCTTTCTTACCGTAATCTAAGGTACTCTCACGCATATGAGATGCATGCCGCACACCCCTTTTTTGGAGAAGTTGTGCATGGGACCCGCGCAGAGGAGAACAATAGATATGTCAGTTACTGTTTGTGGTGGCAGACCCAGTTGTAGGTCCACACCGCGCACATTGGGATCCCTGCCATCCCCCATTGTTGTTCATTAAATCCTGGTCAAGTGATTGTTGTGCAGCATGGGATGTAATGGTAAACCTGGATGCGAGTCCAACCGTACTAGCCACCTGCACCCTCCCCGCCTCCGGTCTTCTATGTCTTGACATCGGACCCAGGGGGGGGGGGTGAAGATGAGAGAGTCTAGTAGATGCAACGCAAGTCCCCTATCAGTATAAAAGAAATCACGCGCGAGTCACCGTTCCCACCCTCACCTTGCTGTGGAGCACACGGCGCACATCGTCGACAACGACGGTCGAACTGTCATCAGAGGCGACCGAGCGCATTGCTGTGGGACTAGACGTTGGAATTGCACACTGAATCAAAGCTACCATGCGCGGTAAGGTCGTGCTGTATCTTATGCTGTATCGTATGCTGCGCCTAAACTGACCTCGTAATCGGACATGTTAGACGAAACGTTTGCACGGATCGCGCATACATGAGCATTATCTGGCTGTGCAACGGGGTGACAAACTATCACAAGCGGCCGATAACACCTACGAAACGGATCACGAGTTTAACTTCGCAGCCACCAAGATAATCGCCCACGCCAGAAGCAAGACAAATTGGGGCATTTATTGGAGCCTTGGTCTCGGATAAGGACTCATTTAATCGATGCACCCACCTGGCGCAAACATACAGAGCCCTACAAAGTCATCTCCGAACATGCGTCACCGATTCCTACACCCTATAAGTGTTGCTTGTTCCGTCGCCGCTTTTATCGCTGACGATGGACTCTCACAAAGTTGCAAAGCCTAACCAAATGAATAAATGGTTCCGATGATCGAAAATTTTACCTTTTTAATGCATACACTGAGTATGCAAATATTCACCTCTATTCCTTATTACTACTTGACTTATGTATGAAGTATCACAATTTCGTTTACCTACTTATCCGTCTTCCGGACCCTTGTCATTGGCTCCGAAACCAATAAGAACAGCATCTTGTTGTCATATCCTCTCTACATTGATGGCTTAACCACGGCTCTAGGGCCCGTGGTTCGTTTTCGTCTTTGGCATAAGTGTTTGGCTGCGTAAATGTCGCATTTCGGTAGTCTGCAACGTTAAAAAATAGCCAGGATAAGTACGGAGAGAATGACGTGAAACTATATTAACACCAGAAGAACCCCCTGATAAACTGGCTTTTTTCACGTTTAAGTAAAATGATAGAAAGCGGATAGAGAAAAACAAGAAACTATGCATAAAATTCCAAGGTTAATTAGTGACAAGTTAGAAAAGACCACTGAAATGCAGTTGAGGGAAATGTTTAACCCCCACAACCATTTGATATAAACTCCAGGTCCTATGGGCAGGCTTCTCGGCAAATCAGAGGTGTGAATATGAGATTGCAACACTTGTACACATATGGGGCAATCAGCCATCTATATGCTGTTAGAAGGTAGCATTTTTGGAAACAGAAGATCGGGAGAAGGTAAAATGATTTAGTCAGATGTGGTTTTGTAGCCGCACCTGAGGTAAACAAACCCCAACTGCCTGTAATACGAGACCGGTGGTGATAGGGTTTTTACAGGTGGGGTCGAGCAATGCAAAGGCGATGCGGTCAAGTAATTGTATGCAAAAGAAAAGCTATTGGGAATGCGCGGTTGTGTTTTGAGTGGTTGAGAAGTAGTTACCCTTACCCCTATATCTAACCCCAGAGAGTATTGTGTCCATCAGATGCGGCTACATAAGCGCATCCTACTCATGATTCTCTAGAGAGGACAACTAGGTTACCTTTCATACACCTCAGAGCCGTAAACTTCTGTAGACTTTCACTTCTGATTCAGGAGTAAGTTCGCGGACTGTGGCCAGAGTTTCTGGTGGTTGCGTTCCTCAGCAGGTTTGAAAAAAGCATTGACTGAGCGCGCCTTAAGAAAATTATCATGCTTTCCAAATAATTGGCCGACCGTTTGCACGACTAGTGTCCATTAAAAATAGTAGGAAGCTGGCTGATGTTGGATAAGAAATCAAAGATGGCCTTTTAGGTCACCTTTGGCTTTGTTGTCACCCATCCAGCTAATAATTTCTTTAGTGGTGACCTATACATTCCATGGAAACTGGAAAACTCTGCACTTTCCCCTCACACTTTTTCGTGTTAATCTTCCAGGTCCTAGACTTGGACGAAACGTGGTGCTGTGTTCGCACAGTGAACGCCACAACCGGACACGTCCCTGCAGAGTCCATTCGTGTTCTTACAAACAACCTTGAGCAGGAGGGCAGTCTGGTGAGTTACCGCAGTACGAAATCCTGCCAGACCGATCAACTGACTGCTCAGGCATCCAGTCGTCCGGGAACTGTGCGTTCGGCAAGACCACCCTCCGCCTGCGCGAGACCCACGTCACGAGCCGACAATCATAATGGTGCTGACTTTTCCCTCTTATGATAAGACCCTCTGTGAACTTTGTGTTATTTTTTTCCTGTCCATTCTTAACTGCCTGTTAAATTACACCTGCACTAGTGAAAACTTTGGCCGAGCCCCCCGAACAAACCGCAAAATAGAAAATATTGCACAAGTCTGGCATTAATTTATCTACCCCTATTGTCCATATGGGCAACTATATTTTGGCCATCAGCTCTGATCTAGTACCCATCCGGGTAAAAAAGGCCCGAATCCTCCTGGCTCGGTGCTAGGGTATGACTGGGGGAATGCAGCAGCAGCAACAGTTGCAGCCGTGGATAGACCAGGAGTGGTCATTCCTGTGTTAATTCTCAGTCAGTAGTACTCCTCGGTCTCAGTTTACTCGTAGGTAGGCAACCGCTTTGATAAAATTTAGACTGGATCGACAATGTAGAGTGTAGTCGTCTGCATGCCGCCTCGCCACCAGGGTAGATCTGTGAACGTCACTCTCACGTGGTAGTGCATTGTCCCGATCACACCGAATAGGAGACAACTCGGCTCGGTGCCAGAGCCTTTGTCCTAGCGCCCTAGTAACTAAGGAGGACTGGTTCGGATCTTCCAGACCTGGGGTGGCAGGCAGCCTTATGTTGTAACCAAAATTGCTTCCCAGCGGATGTCAAACATCTGAGACCACGGTTAAAGATTCCCACAACTGTTCGGTTCCTGTCGTAAATGTTTCCCACAATCATCTTTATTTCTACTTTAAGCACGATCATACGGATTCTCCGAGTCCTGCAAATTCTCTTTTGCTGACGAACGATGCTGACGTTGCGGTTTTTGGCCTGATGAATGTCCTTTTAGTGCGCAAATTTACTTGCCCTTCAGTTGTCTTTATTATTTAAAGATAACCAAAGTTTTCTGGTAAATGAGTCTGGGAATTAAATAGAATATTTTCTCTTGTATTTACGCTAGAGGGCCCTCAAACTTGCCATAAGAGATCTTGCCTTCCACTTGAAGTGTGCTAACTTGACAATATGCGGTTTTAGGGGATTTTCGGCAAGCGTCGAAAGTAATAATTCAAACTTGTTTCGCAGACCATGTGCTAATTTCCAGAGAGAAAAATGTTAGCGTTAACATTAGGGCTGAGTTTAAGTTTATGGTTGGAGTTAAGTTTGGGTTAGGGTTATGACACTGGAGTGTCTACCCTTCCTTGAATTTCGAGCAAGGCATCCTGTATTGCCCTAGGAAAGAGGGTTCCTATTCCCCTGCCTCTCTGCACTGTGTCTACTTTTGTCTTTGTGGCACTACGAAGTCAGTTTATGTCGCAAATCTACGCTTACTTCGTAGTGTTTGGCAAAGCGACATCTTCAACCAGACCACTGGAAACCCCTGAAACTCCACATGGATGGACAGGAATTCGCGAAACAAACATGTTCTGTCCATCTACATCATTTTGGCGCCATAAGCCTTCATGCTCTTTCAAAATCCTGCTGAAATTAGTGTCTTGATTATGCAATTACGAGCCTTATGTGTAAAATCGACATTTTATACTATCCATGCGGACGAGTCTGCGGGCAAGTTCAGGGGGAAATGGATAAATCGCAAGGGAGATTAAGCACGCAAACCAAGTGTCTACTAAACTACTTCCGTATTGCTGTCTTCCCGAGCAGTTTTGGGAACAGGCTGTTCTTCCACGCGAGGGGGATGTAGACACCAGCTTGCTGTGATCCTTTTACAGGTAGCGCTGATTGCCTCGATTTTCCAGACATATCGTTTGCAGTCCTAAGCAGCCATGTTGACGTGATTTCGACTGGCCTAGCTGTCAGCAGTCTTTATGTGCGTTCAGTATATTTGTCACCTAATCCACTTGCAGCTAGAGCTTGCAATGGGATGGTCGTTCAAGAGCTTGAAATACGAAATTAGCGGCAGTTTAAGCTCGTTTAATCATGATATGCCACCTGGAAATATGGCATACTGGAAATATGACTTCTGAATGGGAAACAAAAAACAAGATTTTTTTGCAACCGACAGTTCCTTTGATTTTGCATTATCTTGACCGGTTATATTTTCTCCGATTTTCTTGCGCCTTCGCCTTCCTGGTGGAGGATCCCGAATAAATAACCAGCTGTCACCTCTTTCCCCTACCGGTAGACTCAGCCACATAACCCAGTTAACTGCCTATTACTTCATGCCACGGTGATGTATCATGCTCGATTGTCCTGTTTTTTCGTAGTGTGCTGCTGTCGTGTAATGAAACAAATGCTGTTGTCAACTTAACAATCAATCTCAATTTTTGTTAATTTTCTTAGGTATCTTTTTATTGAATGCATTAATGTGATATGTTGCTGCGTGTTTAAACACTGGCTAATACTTCTCCAGGTAAAAGAGCTGCCTCTTCCGACGGGTCGGACACGATCATATCCACCACCGCTATGCTCAAGCCGTCCCAAGCGTAAGACCGAAGATTGTTTTTTGTATGCAGTATCTCTTCCAAATCTATGTGAATGGATAGGTGCTAGAACTCATTTACCTAATTATTGCTATCTATGTGTTCACGAAACGGGCTGCGCTGTCGCGTCAGACGGAAGCGGGAATCTATAGATGTATTGCGAACGAGAGGTGGAGGGTTTATGGCATTTAAGCCACTGCGCTCCATTTCATCTCCGTCGGCTTGCTCAGGCCGTATTCTATTACGAGAGAAAAGAGAGATCAATTCTGCGCAACCTTACCTAATAATCATAGCTGTGAAGTCATTTTAGAATACAGTAGGTTGGATAAGTCATTAAATGCCAACCGGAATTCCGAAATGCGTTTTCGTTTCGAAAAGGTCAATTAAGTAGGGTTGTAAAACTAGTCAGCCTAAAACATAATTTTATAATATTTCAATTGCTTCAGTATGCTGGCTTTCGAATGAACTTCCTTCCGGCTGCATGCAACAACTACACTCTGTAAAAAACGACTGCTTAATTGGCATGAATTTTCCTCATTGATTTGCGATACCCCTAATAGTCCAATTATATTTCATAAAAAACATGCATAAAAACATTCATTCTTTTGCTCATTCGGTAGATAATTACGTCTCCTTTCAATCTTATACTCGAAGGTATGGCATTATTCGGTTGTCAAAAACTTTTCCAATTCTCCAATAATTTTGAACTCGCTCTACCGTTACACCTGGATTCAGGGTTTCAAATCTATAAGCCGCATATTTTCCGCGTACGGAAAACCACACGTTTCTCTACGGTACTAAAAGGGGGCCATCAGTGGTTCATAAAATTTAGCAGTGGATTTGATCCGTATTGTTAACTTTAAAAGCCACATTGGTAAATACAGAGACATAACGATTTATGAACTGCCATTTCACGGTATTTAAAAGTCATACGATCAGAAACTTTCTTAAAACCGAATTATACCCTTCCTTCGAGTGTACGATCGGATGGAGATGTAATTATCTACCGAATGAGCAAAAGAATGAATATTTTTAAGCATGTTTTTCATGAAATATAATTGGACTACTAGGCTATCAAAAATCAATGAGAAAAAGTCATGCGACATAAGTAATCATTTTTTACAGAGTGTAGTTTTTGCATGCAGCCGGAAGGAAGTTCATTCGAAATCCGGCATCCTGAGGTAACTGAATTATTATAGAATTATATTGCAGGATGACTATTTTTACAACCCTACTTAGTTAATCTTTTCGAAACGAAAACGCATTTCGGAATTTCGGTTGCCATTTCACAAGTTAGCCCACCTACTGTACCTCAACGTGCTAAACGTAATAGTCCGGGAGTTTGCCAATTGACAGGACAACTCAATCCTCCTTCGAACACAGGACCAAGCAGCAGTGAGTCCATTCTATCGTGGTGTTATTGTAGCCCTCACCTATAGGACAGCCAGTTCAGCGAGGTCTGGCTCATGCGAAGTGAGTGACCACCACGCGTGTGTCACGCGCAGACAGGGGCTTTGTGCCAGACCATAAACCTCGTCCACATTCACGCCCGTTCGTCTTCACCTCGCCTTGGCATTGGAAGCCGATGGCCACTGTAGGTGCCAGTGGGTTCGATGCTGCTAAAATCTGCCTTGCTCTACAATCCAACTCACGTGTACGCCAGCACTGATTCACTGAACTCATCTTTCGCGCGTTCTTGTGAGAAAGTTTTTCGAATGTCTGCGCGGTTTGCTAGTGATAAGTTCGTCTGTGTTGAAGGCAACAGGGCGCGGGGGATGCGCATACTATAATAATTTAACACTCTCACGGCGGAATAGCCAAGCCACCAAATCTTGCTATAATTTCCTTTTTAGTACCCGTGAAGAACCCCCTCGTGGTCGCTAAACAGTTCAAGCCGGATTGGCAGGATAATAAGCGTGCGTACCCTGGAATTTTATCTAACGAGTACAATAACTCACAGCTGCTGACAGCGATGGGCCTTTATTCTGACAGATAGCTGTGCAGATTAAGTCTAGTTCGTTTTTGGAAAGAAAACAACACGTTTTTGCGTCAAGTAGGTTGAGAATTAGCTTTACAGACCGCTGCGCCCAGTTTCACCTCCAAGTTTCTATATATAGTCTTGCTATTGGTGCAGAGTAATCCGTCCTGTTCACCCTTCCCTCGTTACTTAAGTTGACGCAACACTTGATTATTGCAAATACGACAGCCATGGCGTAGAAGTCAGTAAATTGGCGGAATGCTGGGTTCAGGAGTTTGTGAGCCAGGCCATAACGGGACCCTTACTGTAATCCCTAGTAAGATGGTCATCCGAGTGTGTGGAATTGCGTTGAATTTATAGCAGGAAGCAGCAGGTTTATGGCGCACGGAGGCGCGGGAAATTTGTCCTAACAGCCATTGCAGCCAATTTCATCATTGTTTTCGACTGCTTCTGGCAAGGAAACATCTTAGATTCGTGCTAACCGTAATATAATTAATGCATAAATAAGCACCACAAGGCAGTGGGTAGAGCGAATAATGAGCACGTTTTTTGTTCACGTTTTTCATCCTTTGCTTCCGTGACATTCGGGTTTCGTAGGACAACTGGGAGAAGAACCCTTCATTCACTAGGAAGGATAGTTCTAGAAACCGTGACAGCATAAAAACAAGGCCACAACTTCCCCCTCCTGTTTCCCTTATATTCTTATGCTACTTTTTGTTTCCTTTAATGTGCCGTTCATTTACGACAACTGTATGTGTTTCGCCACGCTCGGTATCTCTTAGCTATAGGGCGCGACCCGATTAATTTCTTTAGACTACTTGGTTCTTCAAAGAAGACATGATTCTCAGACATATGCGGAGAACTAAAGGATATATAATCATCACTAGGAGGAATTTCCGTATAACTCTTATTAATCATTTTTAGGATATTTTACTTACTTTTTCAAGTTAAGAAGACAAATTCAAAAGGTGATCTTATTTTTCCTCGTTAATGGACGTCCTTCGAATTGAGCAGTCATTTGTAGCACAGCTTTATGCGTCAGATATACAATATCCGGAAATGTTACTGACAAAATGGGGACATTGAAAGGCCGTTTTTCGGATTCTTAGCCGTTAGCAGTCAGTTCTCATTTACTATTCAACACATTTCCTCAAAACACACATGCATACGGTAAATGCACCTACTAATCCTCAGGACTGACTTAATTGTCGTACTAATACAGTATTGCATAAGAAGGAATTATCAATTAGTAGGTCGGGTAAGAGGAGAGATTTTGTAACTTCATTCACGATAGTGTATGCAATATTTTGAAAGTTTATAAAGTTTTTACCCATCCAGTCTTGTAGGAAAAACCTAGCCACAAAGGACTGCATACTCCGGAGAGTCCTCACTTTGTTCGGCGTTCCAGTGATTCACGATAACCTCAAAAATAGCGTAAACTTGCCGCATATTGTTAGCACTGTAAAGTACTACTTTGCTCTAATACCAAAACCATCGCAAAGTTATCTTCACTACTCCCTTCAGCTAGCTCTGTTTTCCATTTAAATGGGACAGTTTTTGGTGCTCAAAGATAACTTCCGCATTTTCGAGTATACTTATTGAAAAAATCAAAAAGTACAAAACACGTCTTCTGTTTCGGTCGCACTGGATTTATTTACTTTTTTAACGGTCTTATCTTTAAGTGGCAACACTCTCGCCTCACAGCTTCAAAGGGCCATACGGTCGCTTGCCTCGGAGAAAGCATAGATCCGGTGTCTTCCCTATATTGCGGATATGCCTTCTGTCGTCGATGCTTCCAGCCCCCAAAGTACATCTGTGCATGCGCATCAACACTTCTATACACAAGACCCTGGGGCTAACTTTTTACCCCTCCCTCTTCTACCCCACTTTTCCTTCTCATTACAGTAGCTTCCTTAAAACGCAGACTGAGAGCCCGGCAAAACTGGTTTACTTTAACCTGTTAGTTCGCAGAAGTGTATCTTGTGTCTTTCATGGCGACTGCCACCTCAAAGGCCAATTTTCGAGATAACCTGTACGTTTTCAATAAATTTCGACTTTCGGCGAAGACCGACAGACACAAGATTCCTCTGTATAAATCTCATCGATCGCGCACAGTAAATCTACTTCTTTTCTAAGGTCGATCCTTCATCTCAAGAAGGGCAGTCACCGTGTTTTCCGAATCACAAAACAGGACTGCATAATGGGAATAAGGCACCTTTTCCCAATGGAAAGTTTGAATGACTTTATGTTCAGCGGCAATAATCTTTCAATGCTGCAGATTGCTACAAATAGATGAATCTAGAGGACTGGAAAGTTTTTGCTTCTGGCCTTTTGCCATTCGTAGAGAAATCTTTACAACCACATTTACTCACCGACTATAAGGACTTTGACCTACATGTTCCATTGGAGTCCCCGTAACTTCCGGCGAGACGAAGTTAAAAGTAGGTCTTAAGAAGGATGAGGATTTCAGTTCCTTTCGAAACTGCTTACGTTTTGCTTTGTTTGCGACACAATTTCCGTGCAGGATTTATCAATGTTGTTTACGGGTGCTCCATTTTGGTCAACTTGTTTCTGATAAAAGTACATCTAATCGACTTAATTAGGAAGATTTAATTATTTGAGAAACAGTAAACTTTATTGTTTAAATCTTCGAGACTGGTTCCCGAGCTCGTCTTCAGACAACGGGCGTACAAGAACAATTAACTTCTAAACCGAGTCTGACAAATGATTCTCTGATTGGTTAAAGGCATCTTCTCGGGATTGGTTGAGTCAGTTTGAATCTGTTCTTAACGATTTTGTATGTGGCATCTAGATCGACATGCCGGTTGATGCATTGCCCCCAGGAATTCTCGGCCCTTCCTTATTGGGCCGGCGCCAACGATGCGACTGTTCTCCCATGCAAATTTTTGTCCTGCGCCTGCCCCTCGGGTGAAGTTCTTATTGCGTCGACAAAAAGCAAGTCTTTACTGTTATAACCCAGCCGACTTCAGCCCTACTTGCCAAACATTGAGTGTGCTGTAGCCGCCGAGGACGTCAACGATAGCACAAACCAAAGTAAGAGAACGCTGATAAGAGATCTTGACCGGGGCAGACCTGAACGGAACTGTTAGCATTCCTTGATACACATCCATACGCAGGAGAAGAAAGCATGTCGAATAAGGGATAAAGTGTAATATAACGAGATTGCACGGGGAAAACGTATAATAATCGTAATTGTACAGGAAGGCTGGTTACATCTGTAGAATGACCTGTCTGGGTGGAGAGGCGATGCCAACATGCCAGCTAGTAAACCGGTGGGGAGCGCAACGCTGGGGGCAACTGCAGGGAGGGGCCAAGGGGGTGCCGATGTAGCGAGGAGGCGAGCGGTACGGACGATACGTTACGGTACGACGAAAGGGAAGGGATCGGCAGAAGAGAGAGGGAGGGACACCGGCTACCTTCACCGACACGCGACTACGCCATCTCCACCCTAGGTCCTCGCGCCAAAAGTGTCACGACATTCAAACAACTCTGTTCGTGCCAAGGGGCGTTACAGTGCAATAGGCCCTTTTTTATTTATATCACTGTGGACGTTCTTCAGTCCACTTTTATACCACAGATTAATGCTAAGAAGAGAGCACTGTGTGGATTGCACTAGTAGCACCTGTCAAAAATGCCGGATTGTGTCGGTGGGGCCTACGCTTCAGGCTACGCTTTTGCCAATATAACCTGTCAGGTATCAAGGTGTTGAAAGCCATCTGGAAAAAATCACATGACACCTTCTTGAGTGCATACCTGCCCCTCACACCCAATTGGTATTCCACGCATGTGCTGAAATTCGCTTAAACAGTTTGCCGAGGCGGAAACTGGGAGCCGAAAATCAAACCTAAAAACTCTTTGATAGGCATTACATTTATGTTGTCGGTATTTTTCCTAGTCATGGGGACAGGGGTTTTTTCACGATAATTTTTACGACTTTAGGGTATGTCAACTATGTCACTTAAAGAAGTCAAGGAAGCTCAGGGTGGCATAGCTACTCTGCTTCATTCACTGAAATTGCTGCTCGCACAAAGAAGCCTCACCTCAAAGTTATGCGGAGTTTGTTTTTGTGCTCTGCTCACAAATGCGGAGTCTCACTAGTCAGTGCTTGTTTTGAGAGATGTCTGCAGGTCTAAAGTATTGGTGCCGTGCTTTTGTATAAAAACCAGTTTCTGGAATGTCATGAACATAGTATGAACTGTTTTCCAATTTCAGAGCGCCTAGAGACGTCCATGACGTGTAGGGGTAGCCTTACTCTCATCCTATAAAACGTTCCCGAGAACAAACCACAAACAATCACCAACCCAGATCTAGGCAAATAGACGAATAATTTTAGACCATTTACTGAATTTTCAGTTTGAATGGCGTCTGCTGAGTGTTATGAGTTAACTGATGAAAACGGGTCATTTAAGGACTACTGGATAGACTTTTCTCATTTTCCTGTACGAACTGAAGTCCCGACCTCTTGTGACTGTATATCACCAATGTTACCGACTGAACAGGGTTGATTTAAATATGAGTTAAGAATAGATTGGAGCACATGTTGCCATCCCAAACTTTTCAATGGTGACGTCTGCAATCTACTAAGAAAATCCTCACCAAGTCATTAATAATTTCAATCACACTTTCGAATGCCTACAGTGAGTGACCGATCTCATGAAATGTTGGCTGAAATTCTGAAATGCGTTTTCGATTAGGAAGGATTACTTGGTCGCGGTTGTAATACTAACTATCTTGCGGCAAACTCTTATTACATTTCGGGCTCGGCAGAATGTCGGCTTTTAAATGCACTTCTTTTCAATCTCCTGTAGAAAGCGTACTCGGTAAAAAATGACTACATAAGTAGCTTGCATTTTCCCGTTGATTTTCGATGGTCTTGAAAATTCAAACATATTTTATAGAAACCATAAAAAATGCTTTATTTGAGTCAATCAATAGAGAATCACGTCTTCATTATATTTTATACTTAAGGAAGGAGTATAATTAGGTTTCAGAAAGTTTCTAAGTATAAGACTTTTTCAGACCGCGAAATGTCCATTCACATAGCATCGTTCCTGGCCGTTTACCACTGCTCCTCATGAAATGGACAAGATGGTCCGCATCCATTGCAAAATTTTATGGACTCTGTATGATATCTCTTTAATGACATAGAAAAATGTGTGAGTTTCTTTACGCGGAACACAGGCACCTTGTAGACTGAAATCACTAAGTGCTAATGCAACGCATGATCAGGCTCCAAATTATTCGACAATTAGAAACTTCATTAACACCTAATTATACTCCTTCCTTAAGTATAAAATATAAATAAGACGTGATTCTCTATTAATTGACTCAAAGAAAGCATATTTTGTTTATGGTTTCTGTAAAATATGCTTGAATTTTCAAGACCATCGAAAGGCAACGGGAAAATGCAAGCTACTTATGTAGTCATTTTTTACCGAGTACGCTTTCTACAGGAGATTGAAAAGAAGTGCATTTAAAAGCCGACATTCTGCCGAGCCCGAAATGTAATAAGAGTATGCCGCAAGATAGTTAGTATTACAACCGCGACCAAGTAATCCTTCCTAATCGAAAACGTATTTCAGAATTTCAGCCAACATTTCATGAGATCGGTCACTCACTGTATGTGCACAGTTTCCTGAAACTAAACCCTTCCCCTCATAAACTCTACTTTAGTCGTTGGAAGGATAACAGCCTGCAGCTGGGCAGCAGCGGGACATAATTATAGAGGCTATTAAGGCACATATTTAGTAAATATCGGTTAAAATTTTCAGTATTTCGTGTTCAATTAGTGATAAAAAACAGTCGTGGATGCATGTTAGGATATTTGGCGTACCCAGCGTGAGTAATCACAGTTTCCAGGGAATGCGCTAGCACATTATCTTAGTGAGAACCGAAGGCTGATCTAAAATGACGCCGAAGATAAGAAAAGTGAAAATGATGTGTATTCAGTACAGTGAAGACTGAAGAAGTGGTTGATGGAATGAAGACTCATCACATGGTGGCAGAGTCAAGGCAACTGACTGAAAAGAATTCGCCACATCCAGCGACGTATCGGAGACAATAGCATGGAAGCCGTCCTCTACACCGATCGCCCTATGCCTTGGAATCCCTAAAGAGGACCAACACATGTGGTCACAGGGGAGAAATTCATGAGCACATGTCGTCAGGTTCATTTCAGAATAAAACCGAAAGATGTCATGGAGCCAAGACAAAGATGCACACGACTTGTGGAAACAATGTGTAAAAGGAAGAGAATATGCTCATCCCAAGTTCTTGTCGACCGCCAAGGCAAGTACACGAAGACATTTGCGGTTTCGGGACCGATCCAATATCGGAGGACCTCTGCGAGGTGATAATATATGGAGCATAGGGCGATCTTCAGCTGGCTAACGAATTGACCGTCAGTGTCGTTTAGTCACTCAATTTCATGGTCGGTCTCAATAAAATATTACGCGTGCGGGCTGAGGTTGCAGGAAAATTAGGGTCTTGTACATCATTTTTTACTTCAAGTCATTTGAATTTGAGAAAAAGGTATTCGGTATAGAAACCCATTTTTGGTTGTGGTGGTGGTTTTTTGCTCGTCATTGTATATTTGCTGATGTTGCCGAATATAAGTCACTGTACGGACTTAAGTAAAGTTTTGTTAGTAAAAGATTGTTCGTCCATCTTAATGAAAACGAAGAATAGCGTGCACAGTTAGGGGGTATAGTAGTGTAAATGAGAAT